AGCTGCCTGCTTGCCAACCAGCGTGGCTATAACTGCTCTTCTAACCTACCCCCAGATTTGTCAGTTGTCTTAAATAGCTGGAAAAGACCACTCATGCTGAATTATTTGAGACCTGTTGAGGTTCCTTGGAACATGGAAAAATCCTTTGTGAGGCTATGTTGGACATACAGAGGTTTCCTGGCCAAGCTCTCTGTATTTCCTCTATTTTGTATTAGTAAACTGAAGCTCAAAATTTTGAGAATGGCCAAGCTGAAAAGGTTGGTTGGTAAGATTTTTTTATATTTAATAGTTTGCCAGTCTTGGTTCATCAGTCAGGGGTGCAAGTTACCTTCTGCCCCACCTCTGCTTGTTGTCGCTGTGCTGGCAAAAGCCCCACTGGGCACACTCGCACCAGCAAAAATGTCATTTTATTGGTATGGCTCCACTTGGGGATTAGCAGGAGCTGCATCACAAAATTCAGCCTCCATGAGCAGTGCTGGAGCCCATTGTCTCTTCCCAGCAAATTCTTTCCTTGTCAGTGGCAGCTCTGTTTGGATGAAGTCCATTACCGTGCGGGTGAGGAGGCTGCTGGTGTTCCCTTGAAAGAGTCACAACTATTTGCATTAAATGCATTTCAGGGCCATGCTGCTTTCAAAGGAAAAACAGCATAATCTCGTAATGAATCTTACTGCAAACTCTCCCAGCTTTTCCTTCTGCCTTGCTGTTTTCTCCCTGTTTGCAGGCTAAGCAAAAGCAACCGGGTGGCACTGGTTCTGCTTCAGCACCAGCAGAGCTTATTTCTGTGTTGGTTGACAGAAACAAACTCATATCCTAGAAAGTTCCCCTTCACCCCAACAGCCACTCTCTGTGTGATTTACTGCTGGAGATGACTCTGTCATTTCTTTGCTGTATTACTGCTGCTGCTGCTGCTATTTTACCCGGTTTGGTACGTGAGCTTTCTGAGATGGTGTGGGATGTGTAGGATCTTGTGGGTGATGAAACTGTCTCTTCTTCCTTTCTCTCTTTGGTTTGTGCTTGTCTGTCTGCTCTGGTAGGGTTATTAATGAGTTATTGATGTACGTGCTAGGTATAATTTTGAGGAGGTTTGCATGTTGGTAGTTTGTAAGCAACTAAGGTGCCTCATGTTCAGGTCTGAGCAGATGGGATCCCCTTGCACTTGAGGGCCTGACTCAGTGCCCAGTGCCGTTGGTGGGAGGACTCTTGCTGACTCCAGGGGGTGTTGGGTCAGGCCTCACGCTCCCACCTTTGTTGTGCCTCACTGAAAATGGTGCTTTTTTGGTTGTCTGTCTTTTTCTTTCCAATTTTGTTAGGTGGGGTTTTTTTTGTTTTTGTTTTTGTTTTTTATGGTGCTGTGTATAACTTGAATATATTATGCACATATCCTACCCAATGGGTAGAACAACAAACACACAAAAACAAATAGATGTTAATACTGTAAGATAATGTATAGATGATACCAATTTTAACACAAAATAATGGCATAGACTTTGTGAATGCCAACTTCTGTGCTTGGTCCTCTTTTGTAAGAAGATTTGCAAATGAATGCATACAAATGACAAGAAGTCTATGTATTTTATTTTCCTATTAAATATCAATATAATATCATAAGGGAAAAAGTTTGAACAAATCCTTCTTGGCTCGCCTGTGTATAGCAACTGGTCGTTGGATGCATCTTTGCTGTGAAGATCTGTTCTTTTTTTTTCTTCTTTAAATGTGTCACTTTAAGAAAAAGGAAAAAAAAGCAAAACAAAGGAAACCTCCACAGCTTTAACCTTGCAGCTAGATGCTTCTTGTCTTGGTCGTTGCCTTGCTATTGCTGAGTTGGACCAGTATTTGTTACTACTTCTCCAGCAGATTAATTATTTATTATCCTTGATTAAGTTGTGGTGTTGCTTTTGTTTCTTTTTAACCTAGAAATGGGCTAAAACCTTTCAGATCTTTTTTTGTCTGCGTCCTTGATGGGAAGTGAAGCTCAGACAAGTGGGAACCAATGTAGACCACCCCTGTGAAATGAAAAGGAGGCCAACAAGAGTTGTGTGTAACCAGCCAGCTCTGCTGTGCTGCTTCCCCGCTGCTGTGCTGCGTGCTGAGCAGAGCGCAGGCCTTGAGGCCTCGCTTTCCTCATGCCCCACTGCTGTGCCGATTGCTGACAGCAGCAGCTGAGCCCAGGTCAATATGTAATATGGCGGGAGGAAGGCCGCAGCCTGGTTGGAGCCAACATGGATACGGAGCCCTTTGTGCTGTGCATTTCAGCTGGTAGGGTGTTGCTGGCCAGGGGACAGACCTGCCCAGCTTCTTGGGTCCCCCCACACGTGCCCATGCCCCATGCGCTCTCGGTGTGGCTTGTTCGGTGAAGCAAATACCTCAGGAAAACTAAACGTGAAGTTCTACTTTAGAGAATTGCAGATACTCTACTTATTTTTCTAAGCTGTTTGTTCTAACTATCCCAGGACGGTAGGTGATGTACAAGTTTGTCGATCCGAGACAGACCAGTCCTCTTGCTGATGGATGCCGGCTGATCTCTCATAGATACCCCTGTCTGTACGTAACTTTTTTATACTTGTCAGGCTTTAACCACAGATGTAACGTAGCGGCGTGTCACGATGTCGTCGAGGTGGTGTTTTTGTTGGCTTTCAGGTGGCAGCCCAGTGCTGGGAGAGCTCCCGGGGCCGTACCTGGGCCCAGTGAAGGCCATGGTGAAGCCCTGTGGGCTGAGCAGCCCCTGGCTCCCACCTGCAGCGCTCACAGCCCGTGGCTCAGAGCACAGCCCTTGGCTGCCCTGGGGCTTCTCTGCTGACCTGAAATTCCAGCCTCACATTTGTCTGTAAATATCTTTTTAAAACCCCCATGGGCGTCCCGTGTCTGAATGTTGACCGTGGCTGTTCTGTTCTTCGTTTTAAAGAAATCCATGCATTTTATGGCCAGTTCCACATCGTCAAGCCTGTGCAGGTAGCTTGTCTCCATCCCTATCCGTATTGAGCTGTTTTATCAGTAAGCACGTACCATAGTGAAGTATGCATATTTTATGACTGTTGTTTGTTAACTCATTTATTGTTTGCTAGGGCACAGAGCAGTTGTTCTGGAAGTTTGTCTTGCCTGGCCATGTCACATCTCTGTTTGCACTGCAGAACAACTTCTGTGCGCCAAGAAAGAAAAGCAAACAAAAAACCCAGGCCTTGACTAGCAGGAGTCTTTACAGAGCAAACCTTTTGCTAGAAGAACCTAAGGTGTGATTTATCGTATCAAAACTTGCATATTGAGTGGACCAAACAGGAGCACATCTCCTTCCAGAGGCACTAATTGGCTTTGAAGCTGCAGTGGCAGGAGCAGATTCTGAGTGTCTTCACAACCGTGTTCACATTTTGCCATTTTCCACAAAGCGCAGTAGGCAGCCGGGATGTTAGAAAAGGTATAAGCAGAAATTAGGAGAGCCTCAGGCATCGCAGAGCCTGGACAGCAAAAATAGTCATAAAATCACCTTAATATCATTTAACAACCTTTTCTACTTGCAGTACCAAGGCTATGTAAGCGCTGTAAGGGATTTTATCTTTATAGATATCAACTGCCCAATGCTGCTGTGCTCAGAGCATTTCATGACGGTATGTATATTGGTCAGGCTGCTTTACTTAAAACTAACCACCCAACGCCTGGTTTTAGAGTGTGGACCCTCTCTTTGTTGCTTCTTGCTAGTTATTTTACAGTGTAAAATGCTTTATTGCTGTATGGATTTTTTTGTATTTCCAACATTGTGGCTTTCAAGATCACACTTTCAGCGTCTCTTATTTCTGTCCATTTTGTTTCAAGTTATTCTGAAATATGTACAGCACTATCAACAATATTTAATCTTTCTTTTAAAATTTTATTGTTGTAAAAACAAATCTATTAAAAAACAATACTTTTTTTTTTTTTACAACTGTATTGGGATTTCTCAATAGTTGTCATGTGACGCTATGACAAACCTGGTTTGCTTTAAGTTTTGTTGTTTTGTTTTGTTGTTTTTTTTTTTTTTTTACCTTTTTTTCCTTTTAACACAATTAATTTGTTGCTTATTTTCCACCATAACTCCCGGTTATATAAAGGAAAAGATTTCAACTGTTGTGTATCTGACTCTTTTAATTGAGCAAATGGTGATGTCCTAGTTTTTAGACCTAAGGTCTGTTATTGCAATACTTTTAAAGGAAGATGTTGCTCTAAGTGCTGTTGTTAGTTTTAAATACAGATTTTATGCTTGTTCTTAATATGCTGTGGTTTAACCATAGCACAGAATTATTAAAAACCATGAAATGCATTTGTCTCCTATTGAATTTCTTTGTGAAGTGGGGGAAAAGGGGATGAAACACGCTTGTCCTTTTTTGTCCTTGCTTTTCTGCTCTCAAGCTGGTAGCTGGTCATTAAGGAGTTGGAGGGTGGATTCAGTCCTTGAAACATGGGCTAAGAACACCGCCTTGATCCCCTTGCAGGCACCCAGTGGCTGCCCCTGGCAGGGCAGTGCTGGCCCAGAAAGTGGTGGGCAGTGCCCAACCATGAAACTGAAGAAACTGATTGAAAAGCGAAAATACAGGATATGGTTCATGCAGGGGAAAAGCACAAATCCTTGGTAATAGAAGGTAAATTCAACTGTCAACAGGTGGTGCCTCTCACTTCACTGTTGGAATGCTTAACAACATAAGAACTGAGCAGTTAACTTCTATTTGTGTTGAAGTAAAACGTGATGCTTCATGTAGCATGACTGTTAATGTAATCCTTGTCTTGGGCTACATTTTGTACTCGGGTCTGTGCTTGCTGATTCCTTTTGGAGAGTGATGCCTAGAGGGAGGTGGTGCTGCAAAGCAGGGGGCAGTGAGTGTGGAGAAGAGGCTGCTGAGGGGGCTGTGCATCCCCAGCTGCATGGGAACTGCTGAGTCACGGCCTGAACCTCTGATCACCTGAGGCGAGCCATGAGTCAGCCAGAGGAGCACAGGTGAAGGCAATTCAGCTGTGCTGCCAGAAGGGGTGGCGCCTGGCTGCACCTCTCCTAGACCTAGTTAAGAGCTGGCTACCAGTGGGGAAGGATCTCGTCTGGAGGTCCCTTCTTCTGGTGCTTTCTGTAGGTGAGCCTAGCATACAGGTAAGCCTTCCGTTTATTCTCCTTATTATCCTAGTCTATTTTGCCTAACTCTCTTATAACATCTTAATATCCATTGATTATACACCAGCTCACTTCTGATGCCCTCCTTCAGGAGCAGCCCTTGGGCTGCCTTTGGGCAGGAGCTTTCTGCTGTTCTCTACAAATGGCTTCCTTATTTAAATGCTGCAGCACTTTCTGCTACCACCATTTAGAAGTGTAACAGTTCTCTTTCCATATAACCACCCAGAGTTGGCATCTCCCCCTCCACAGCATTTTAATTCTTCCTTGGTGCTTAGAAAGTAGCTGGGGCCTCAGCACTTAGAAGTGCTCCAGACCTCTGAGCGTCTGCTCCTCCTCTGCTGTCTGAACCCTGAACTCCCTGGAAACTGCTTTTTTTGAGACTGCTTTGATCTTTTACATAATCAGGTTTTAATTGTATTTATATTTGTTTTATAATATGCCATTCTGTTTGATTGTGTTTTAATATCTTTGCCAATGGTTGCAGCTCAGAACTTGGCTATAAATGGGATGTCTCATCTCAGTAGGGTTACTTTTCCTGTTTAAAGATTAATACAGTGGCTGCTGCAGTCCTGTGAAACCTTTCGGTCTGGCTTCCAGGCTCCCCACAGTATTGCCTCTCATTACAAACACCCTGGTTGTACCACTCCAAACCCTTTTCTTCCCCAAGACCGCTCTATAATGAGGCTCGGTTGCTTAGACAAAAATTAATTAGGCTTCTCTCATTATCACTGTTTTGATCGGTCGTGCTTTAAATGAGTTCTAATTAAAATGCACATTTTAAAAACCTCACTGCTGAATCCAGTTCTCATCACTTGCTTCTGCTGCAGTGATGCCCAGCTTTTGTTCCACGTGCATTGTGCCACTTCCACACAATTCCAGCACTGGGAAAGAATAAAAACTTGGAGGATTTTTTTCTTTTTTGGCTTGTTTTCTACTTTTTTTTTTTTTTCTAGGCCGAGTATGAAATGATTACTCCTGAGAGCAGAGGTTAGAGCTGAGCTAGCCCATTCTTTTCCACGTAGTCAAAGTGACGAGTTACGTTTCTCAGTACCCCATACAGTTCACAACATCAGTTACTCTCAGAACATTCCTTAGCATTTGAGAAATCACCTACCATACTTAGTGCTGGTTAACTGCCTGCTTCTGCTTACCTTGGGTGCTACAAATCACCATTAGATATTAATTAAGTTGGAAGGACTCTGGGATGCACAGCAGTGCTGGACTCACACTGGGATAAAGGCAACATGCTGGATGCCAGAGGATTTACAGACTGCACGTGGAGTGGCAATGCTGAATGCTCACTGTCCTTTGTAACACGTGCAAACCAGCAGATCCTTACTGCAAAATACTCTGTACTCAGTAACAGGCTTCTGCTACAAACAGCTTTGCACAGAGGTGCTAACGCTGCTTTAAAGATGCATGGAGAGGGACAGGGCAGCACACAGTGCAGAGCCTTCTCCCCACCTCCATCGCTTGCGGTCCCTCCTGCAGTCAGGTGCTTTCTCTCCCCGCTCCTTCTGCCATCTGTGTGCTTTTGCCTTGTACACAGCTATCATCTCTCTGGGTTTCGCTGGTAGTTTCAGGGTTTAAAAAAAGCCGTCGGAATGCAGCCACCCTTTGCCTGGAGAGAGAAGGCAGTTTTTCCACGGAGGACAAAACGTCACCCTTGAGCCCAAGAAGCTCCCTTCAATGCCAATGCCAGCTCACTCCAGATTAATTTAACATTTGCAGACATTACAGTGATTGACAGTGGAGTTGAGTGGAAAATTCCGATTTAATCCCACTCTGTGTGCCACAGACATGGCTCAGACAGCTTGACCTACATTTAACCCTAGACAGCAAGAAACTCCCAGAGGAAAAAAAATACAAACTAGTTTTGTCCTCAAAGCTCTCAGAATGTTACAGTTTATCACATGTCCCCCTGCATAGGCATACATGTGCAATTATGTTAGCAGTCTCTGAGTCTTTCATACGCTGAGCCAAGCTTGCACTAGTTGGCTTTACTTAGTGAAGAAGCCATATAAGCCAAATTGAAAGCATTAACACATTTTCATACCCTTTCAGCAGGGTTTATGGCAACAGCTGAATGTATAGGAGCTGTTTATTTTCCTACAATTGGGTTAGGAGTCTAAGTAAGTGCTTTCCGATTTGTTTCCAGCTGCAAACTTGACAGCTGTCTGAAAAAGCCAATGAGCTGGTGTCTTTCCCTCTGGAGAAACCTGACGGGTAGGGCTTAGCAGGCCACTGCAAAACTGCTCTTCTGGCCACTTTGGCCCCCTTTGGCTTTGCAGTCCAGCTGTGTGTGTTTTAGAGGGTCAGTGGTGCAGCATTAGCTGCTGCAGCTTCTCAGTGAGAGGTGCACTGGTGCATGTTGAAAGCTGTATGGCTGAGTGATTGCATCAGCTGCTCTGTGCGAGTCCTCTCACCTTTTTAGATTATGCTTCATGTTCCACCAATACTATGCTTGCAGATAAGAAAACATGCACACTAGCTCAAGCCATATGCCAGGGGAAATGGACGCTTTCATCTCAACTAAAACTATACTCCAACAGGTAAATGATACCAAGCAGACTAAAATCACCATCTGACAATAACACTGAAGAAGTAGAGAGCCGCTCTGGGCTACAACTCTTCTCATAGCAATTGCCACACAGCTTGTCAGTTACTCCTGACTGGGACATGGGAGATTGTGGGAACATCTGTTTTCCCATATGGCTCTGCTCTTTATGGAAATGGAAAAGACTCAGGCCTTCACCTTTAGGGATGGATGCTGGCACAACCACCATTGTCCCCAGTTTCACAAGATAGGCCACTTGGCTAGCCAAAGCAGCAGTTAGAAATATTTCATGTAATTACAGAATCACTGATGTTGGAAAAGACCTCTAATATCATCTAGTCAGCAATCCACTTGCCACCAATATTGTCCACCAATCATGTCCCTCAGTGCCACATCCACCCATTCCTTGAACACCCCTAGGAGTGGTGACTCTACCACCTTCCTGGACAACTTGTGCCTGTGCTTTACCTCTCCTTCTGAGCAGAAAGCCTTCCTAATATCCAACCTGAACATTCTCCTCTTTCGTTTTTTGATGAAACTTTACCCAGTTGTATTTAGTTTGTTTTCATTTTGTTTTTTCCTTTTTTTTTTTTTTTTTTTAACTACCAAACAAGCCTGTGTATCTTTCCCTGGGTTCCCCAGTTGTAGTTGTCCAGTCAATTGCTTAAACTCAAACCCAAACTTAATGCTACATGTTGCCCTGTGGCCTTATGAAATCAAGATGTATTCTTTCTACTTAGAAGATCATCTTCATCAAAATAGCCGGATAACTGCCAGGGGATAATTACAGCTCTCTAATTATTATTGTTGCTGACGGTAAGTGATGAATAAGGACAAATGCAGCTCAGTGCTCCAAGCTGACACCCATGGGGAACACAGAAATGTGTTTTGATGAGGATGGTCACATGGACAGCAGTGACCCAGGAGATGACGTGGCAGGTGCCCTGCTGGATTGCAGCGTGCTGCCAGGGGCCAGGGACTTTCTCTGCCACCATTGAGTGCCCCTCCAGCAGCTCCAACCCTGTTCTCCAAGGCAAGGGAGGGGAAATCTCTCAAATATTTTCTCCAATGGCTACAGTCCCTCTGGGTCCTAGGTGTTGTGGTTGATGGCAAGGTGAACGAGTCCGCAGTGTGCTCTGGCAGCCCCGAGGGCCAGCTGTACCCTCTAACCTTCCAACTCAGGATATCTTACGGTTTTAGGATTCTCAGGCCATTGGAGAGTTTCTCAGTGGCTGTGGCATAGGTGCTTCCCCATCTAGCCCTTATGCTGTGATTGAAGGGTATGGAACCACATATTTATGGCCAGAAAAGCCAGCAGGATCCATGAAGAGCCAGAGGGCACCCAGGAGGACTGTGTGGCGAGTTCTCCTGGGTCTGACTCACAGCTCAGCCCAGGACAGGGATATGGGTGTGCTTGATACCTGCCAGTGGGAAATCCCATCCCAAGTGGTCTGTGGGTGTCAGCTCCTCTTCAAGCTCCAGCCTTTATTTGGGCCGTGACTTTTTCTCTCACCCCATCTGGGGCTGCAAATTTTACTTCAGCCCGATCTTGGACCGCTTCTTCAGCTTAATTCCCTTCTTGGGTCATAACATTGCAGCAAATTCTACTTTCAGCTGCCATGTCAGCTGCAGCCCCATCATGGACTACAGCTGTGACTCTGGTGCAGCTGTGGGCCATGATTTGATTGTCTTTCACTTCAGTGCTGTCTTAGTTTCAGGTTTAGCCCTGTCTTATATTATGATTTTGGCTTCAGCTCCATCTGGGGCTGTAAATTCAACTCTGGTACTATCTTGGGCTGCTACTTCGGCTTCAATCTGGTATCAGGCCATAATGTTTATCCCAGTCCCTGCTCAGAAAGCTAATGCAGCTTTGGCCTCTGTCTTTGCAGTGACTTTGGTTCTTCCTCATCCGAAGCCATGACTTTTGCTCTGGCCCAATACTGGGTTACCACTTAGACTGTGACTTTGGCTCTACCTCTATACTGGATTGTGACTTTGGCTTCACTCTCTGGAGGGACTCATGTCTACTCTGGTCCTTGCTTGGTCTTCCTTGGCTTCTGCCCCAGCCTCATGGACTGTGACTTCAGGACCCACCCCATTCTGGTCTTGTTTGACTATTTTGGCTCCAGTCCTCCCTTCAGCTGAGACTTTGCCTTCGAACATTGCTTGGGGCACAGCTTGAAGTCCTGTCTGGATTGGGTCCTCCTGTCTCTGTCACTGTTTCCTGTCTGGGCTCTTACGGTGCCTCCAGTATCATCTTAGGCAGCTGCTTCACCTCTAGCCTGCTATTGGGCTGCAACTTCTGCCCAGGAGGCTACTGCACATCTGGTCCATGTTTTGGCTGCTTCTTCCGATCCAGCCTGGTCTGATATTGGGCTCTACTTTGTCACTGTGTCACCAGACTGTGACACTCGGTGCAAGACTTCAGGTCTGACTCCACTTCTGCCTGTAACTTCAGCCCCATCCCAGTTGTAGGCCATGATTTAAGCTCCAGCCACCACCTTGGACCTCCGTCTTTCAGGTCTAGCCTGACACTGGGTTGCTACTTTAGCAACAAGCTCACTGTGCAGCTTTGGCTAGGCCTGGTAGCAACTTCGGTTACAAGCTTCGGCCCCATATCTGTGGCTTCATTTCCAGCTTTGACTTTTGCCCTGGCCCAATAGTGGGTGCTGTGGCTCCAGCTGCTATTCCCTCTCGGGCAGTGACTTTGGCTTTGGTCCCATCTTTGGCTCTGGCCTGTGCTTGGCTCACAACTTCTGTTCTGACTCCATCTTGAGCTATGACTTCCCTGAATCTTACACAGGCCTCTGATTCTGCTCAGGTATATTTGGGATATGAGTTCACCCCTAGATCTTGCTCAGGCTGCTATTTCAGTTCTGGAAACTTGTCAGGCTATGATTTTGGCTTGAACTTGCCTCGAGCCTTTATTTGGGCAATGCCTTCAGTCTCACCATGGGCCACTAGAACTCTGGCTGCTTTTTGGGCTGCCACTATGGCTCTGGCACCACTCTGGCTCCTGCCTCATCTCAGGCTTTAACTTCAGATCCAGGTCCTCCTTGTTTGCTGCTGTGGATCCTGCTTGATACAACTTCATTTCCAACTCCTGCTCCAGCAGCCACTCAGAACCCTCACATTCATGCTTATCAGCAGCAAAGTCAGTGTAATGCTCTACAGGATTGCTGTATATGAGGGAGAAAGAAGGCAGAAATTGAGGAAGTCGCTAAAGCAGCAGTTTCTCCACTGCCTGTATGGCAGCAAATTCCTTCACCCTGGTCCCATCAGATCTTTGATGGTTCTGGAAAGAGGCAAGGACAACTCCTCTTCCTTCCAGGGGATGAATCACAAAACCTTTCTCTTTCCCAAGCCACCGCACCTGCATCTCTTCCTTCTGTGCTACCACATGCACCTCCTGAGGCTGCTTCACATTAAGGCACACTGCCATCACATGTGTGCCAACTGTGGGCAGCACAGTGCCCCTGTGCAGCTCCTGCCTGGTGCAGGGAAGAGCTGAAACACAACTGGCACTGAATGTCCCAGCCTCCAGCCCCAGACCATGCCATGCACAGTACAACGCTGCCTTCCCCCCCCCCCCAGTTTTCCATTTTCCCAGTCTAGGTCAGAAAAGCATGTTCAAGGACAGTAAGGAAAAGTACACTAAAAGAGGAGGAGGAAAAGTATCTCAACTCCAATTCTAAAGTAGTACTCACCTCAACACTCTCAAGAGCTTGCAGTTAGAGAGAATTCCTTTTTAATAGTAATTGTCAGAAATGTGGCACTTTACATCTTCAGGACACTGAATATACAATGATTATTCCTCACAACAGCCCTGTGAGGTAAGCATTAGATTGCAGTTACTATTTTGACACATGGACAGAGGCAGAGAAGTATGCAATCAATCCTGCACAATTGAGTTAATGAAGTTCAACGGACTTAAAAATGGACAGGTTCTTGGTGACTTCACTGACAAAGTAAAAGAGTGGGGTAGAAATGATACTTTATCAGTTATTTTCTTTTATCTTAGTTACAATACTTAGGGTCCAACTCTGCTGCTTTACTTATCTATCTCCCTGCAAAAACAAAAACAACAAAAAAACCAACAACCAAACAAAAAAAACCAAGCCCACAAAAAAACCCCAACATCTTTAAGCAAAATGCACATGCAGAGATTTACTAGGAAGTGAGGGCCATTACAGAAACAGGAAAAAAATCCACTCAGTTCAGCCTAAAATTTGAGTAGAACTAAGAGAGAAGCTTGCCAGTTTAGTCAAATAGAGCAGTTTCACCTTTAGTCCTTTCAGCATTTCGGGTACAAACAAGTATTTGCTTGATGTAAGAAAACATAGAGTTTTCTGCTAGACTGCAATCACTGTCTCAGGAAAGCTAAACTGTACTACAGACATCCAAGAGATTCTTGGATAGGAAAAGAAACTTTGGGATTTAACTCTGACTTTGCATGTATTTAAAAAGTTCCATTAGTATACCTATTTTTTGAGTAAACCTCTCTTCTGAATTCTTTTTTTTGTTGCTATAGGACTACCATGAAATAATAGAACAGTTTTGTAAACTTCAACATAATAAAAAAAAAACTAAAAAGTTTTTAATATACAATAATTGATTCATTGTAATAACTTTCTACTGAAAATCAACTTTAGAAAAAGACAGTATAGTTGACAGTATGGCTGTTGTGATTAACTCATCTTCCTATAGTTTGCAGTTGAGATTTCTGAAAAGATGCACTTTCCAAGAAAGGTTTGTAGCCGTCCCAAACTGTGAACTGTCACAGATCAGCTGAAGTCCATGTAGCTGTTATGAATTCATTTACAGTGAGTAACTAATCCGTTCTTTTCTTCATGTGCAGTATCAGTGACAATGGTCTGTCTCCAAGTCGAGAGATGATCACGATTAAGGAGGTCTGAGATTACACTTAGAAATACAAAATAAGTGTTCTTCCCCAGTAGAGACATCTCCATTCTCACTTATCGGAAGGTTCAGTCCGATGGGATAATGGCTGTGCACTAAGATGGAGGAGTAAAGTAGTGGCTTTAATATGAAATCATCTTCATTTTGAAAAAAGAAAAAAAGGGGGGGGAGGGTTGAGATGTAATTGTTGACACTATTACCACTGGATGTGAACTTCTCATGTGAAACTTATTCTTGCTTCTGTTAATTGAAATTTTGTCACAATTTATCTCTCCCAGGAAACTTCAGCCTTCAAGAATATACATAATTCTATATCCACAGTGAAGCTGTAGTCTGCAGACAAAAAAACCAAAACAACAAAAAAAACTCAAGAAAGGTCAGAAGTGCACTTTGTATCTCCTGCCTCAAAAAAGGTTAAAGTGCTAAGTTAGAGATCTCCAAAAATTAAGCATCTCTTAGTCCTTTATTTTTTTAAACGAAACTTTATCTTTGGTTTCTTGAATCTTTTCCGTGATTTTATCCTTTGTTTCCTCCATTTTCCCCGTGATTTTATCCTTTGTTTCCTCCATTTTCTCTGTGATTTTATCCTTTGTTTCCTCCATCCTATCTTGTAAATATTCCTTTACTGGTGGTGGTGTGGACATGTAGCCTTTCTTACGCAGATATTTAACAGTGAAGGATGTTCCTCCCAGAGTCACAGTATATCTGGCAGGAGTTGCAATCTTAAAGAAATAAAACAGGACAGTACTATCAAGCAGAATGCATTTTTAATATTAACAATGTACGTTGACCAGTGTCAGATACTGAAAATATCTTCTGTTTGTTAAGAATTAAAACAATTTACAGTACATGCTGCAGAAACACATACCTCCTACTTAAGTATCCTTTTGACAAACCAGCACAGGCATCAGAGTTGCATTTTAAAAAACCTCCCTAAGCAGTTTGTAGAAAGAGCACTAACTGCCTCAGAATGCAGTACAGAACAGGCAGCACGTGAGCACTGAGCTATATGTAAACAAAGAAGAAATACTAACAGGGTATGCTTTGAATTCTAAAATCCACAAGAGTACAGGTATCTAACTTAAGTCTAAAATTAGGACCCGCTTATGGAAAGCCAAAGCTAAGAGAGACCTTAAGAAGTCAGCTAGCCCAGCATACAATGACCAGGTTTGTTATCCTAGAAAGTTTAAACAAACTTGTTCTTTCAGGACTTCAAAGATCGATGTATCATCTTCTCTTTGCAATTTATTCTAGCGCTTTCACGTCTGCCAAATCTCACATCTACAATAAAACCTTTGTCTTTAACCGCATTTCTTTATTGATCTCTTTCAGGCACAGGAGTAATTGGCAAGAGTAATGCTTTCATATTTAGTTGGGGGTGGGAGGGGCCTTAAAAGAACAGATAAGCAGCATATCACATCTGGAAAGGAAACTGATGAGTGGCATTCAAAGTGAATACGTTACTTTGTTTTTGCATTGTCTGACATATTTCTGGCTCCCTAAAACAGACTTTGCACATACAACAATTAAACGAGAACCAAACCTAAATCTAAGTAATTGATTCGAGTGGACAGTGAAAGTACTTGACAACAATGGAGGAAGACAAATCAATTCACCTCCAGACTATTAAATAAATAAATAAGTAAATAAATCCACCTACGCTTGTCTGGAAATCATAAAGCATTTGAAATTTACTTCTTTATCCCTGTTAATTATTTCAGGGATACAGAGGACTAGCTTAATTGTAATTAGATCTCTGAGAAAAGACAATCATCCTGCAGCAAGAAAGTTATTTTAGAAGTACAGACTCTTTAAAGGAACACAGAGCTCGTACTAACTTGCATGTGACTATTTGTATTACAGAAATGAATGCTGAAATGTGTCTAACTATCAAAGAAACAGCAATATTTTTTTCCTGATTTAAACAAATAAACACTACTTATTTAACTAGGCAAGATATAAAGCTTGTTTGCAAACCATTAAAATACTTACTTTATACAATGCGTATGCAGTTAGTGCATTTCCACTCTGGGAATTTTTCAGGATGTCTACTATCCTGTCTGGTAAGCCAATCAACTCTAGGAATGGAACAACATTCACTCCTCTACCAAAGAGAAAAAATAATTGAAAATGAATAGGATGGCATACGAAACCCGAACAGTGGTCTAGAGCATCATTTCCATTCTTAAACTCAATCATACAAACAGTGCACTTATGTTTTGTATGTGTTGGTAAATTGATGTGTTGCTTCCCCCCCCCCCCAAGCATTCCACCAGGAGGCAGCCCATTTACATTACCCCTGCTGAGCTGAGCAGCTGCAAACCTAACCTGCATTCCAGCTTACTACATTTGGAGGTGCACAGATAGAGTAGGTTCTGAGGCAGCTGCTCAGGTTCCAGTTGTGCAAGTTCTGTTCAGTCCAAAATATTTTTTTTTCCCCTTTTGAAACCTCAGACTAATCTGCTCACAAGTCGAGGGCCCAGATTTCAGTGTCCTCCCTTCACTTTTAAATGAAACAAATGGAACGTGCAAAAGGATGCAAATGTTATATGCACAAGACTGCAGGGCTTTTGTGCTCATCTGTTCTATCTGGTTAATACTGGTTAATACGAGGTGGCGGCATGGGTGGAATGAGCTCTTACTATAATGTCTTTCTATCTGAAAATCAGAGAAATTGTATCAGCACCGGAACGGGGGAAAAAAAAGGCAGTCCTCCTTTACACTGTGAAAGAAAGCTACATGCAGTTATAGATCTGATACCTCACTTCCCCAAATTTAGAAATGTATTATTAGCATCATCATCAATTTCTATCTACTATTTCCAGCATTTTAAGTGTTTCTCTATGCATGTGATCACTTTAGCAGCAGGATCAGGAACAGTATCAGGCAGGAATTTTCTAACAGTTACCAGAATCGACAAAGGCTTAATTCCAGAGAAGAAAACTGAGATCTACTAAGACCTAAAAGACAGTGTTAATCAATGCTGTTAAATAAACCACGGCCATTTAGTCATGCACCATGAGCAGTCATTCTGAAAGTTATTCTACTTCAAGAGAGTGCTACTCCTGTAGCACAACAAATCAGTTTTGTTATGATTAGTTCCTACTTAAATATTTCAACTGCTTTCATCTGTTAAATATGTATTTTAGCAGCTAACCTAAGCACTTCAAGAAAACAAACTTGAAAAGCCTGGATGTGAGTATCAACTTGGATTCATCCAAAGCAAAATATTTTTAATAGCTCCAGACCTTTATTCTTCCAACGTGAGCTAAACTTAGAATGACATTTGGATCTATAGCTCCTAGAAAGGGCAATGATGCCAGCTGGTTAGAGTCACTAAAACAAACACTTGTGTGGTAGGGCATTCTGTTGTCAAAGCCCCATCCTTGCCACCAGAAAATGTCATTGTTTCATATGTTCTATTATTAAATATGCAACACTAGCAATCCAGAGATAAACATTTACTTATATTTAGCAAACCATTTCCACACAGACAGTGCTCTTTCATCTGAACTAATAGTTCCTAGCTGATGTAGTTCTTTGTAATAAATGCCATTTTCCAAAACATCACCTGTCCCACACTAAAGAAGTTTAAATTAGAAATATGTAAGGACTTTTTTTTTGGCCACACAACTTAATTTTCTAATTAAAAGTCTGTGCTACAGACTTAGAGTAACTTTTTTCAGTAGGGGAAGGGAAAGACAGGAAGCAGAAATAAAAAAGGAAAGATGTATATTTTGTGAGGAGCTCAGAGTGAGGTAAAAGATTTAAAAATCCAGTCATAGGAGAAGACTGGGGATGAAGGGAGATGGAAGGGGTGAAATATCCTTCAAATCCAAAGGCAAAGAACAGGTCTATAAAGATTTTATCTAACAACTCAATCGGGATTCCAAATCTCCAAATTTATATCTGGTGGAAGTTTACTAATCATTTCAATGCTGTTTATATCCATGCATATTTCGGGGAGAGCTACATTCTTGCAAATACTACATTTCCTAATGCAACAAATGCACACCCAGTATACAGCAGTCACTGCATGAAAACATTAAGTAAACAACAAGCTCATGAGCCCTACATACTTTCAGTATTAATCTTATGCTTCAGGTAAAAATGTGGCCTCATTTCTCTATCATGTACAGAGGCATTTTTTAGCACAGACTAATAACTTACATCCTTTCACCTGTGAAAGTCCAGGTCAATTAAATAGCAGCACAGCACACTGCAACATAATATCAACTTACTTCATGGCTGCATAGTAAAAGGTTCCAAACCACACAGTGGAAGTCACAAGATGAACGGGAATCATGACTTTTCCATACTGTTTAAAAGTTTTCTTGAATCTTTGAACAAGGCTAATTGATTTGTCTTGTAACGGATCAGGATCTGAAGCATCTGACTCTACAGGGCTCTGCTTGGGTACTTCAGTGGCTGAAGTCAAAGCTTCTCTCTCTTCTGGTGCTTTCCTAGGAGTGTCTGCTGGCTGTGATGAAACAGCGCTGCTCTTTGAGGCAAAGAGTGCTGCACCTGCATGAAGACATCGTTTAGGAGGGTCCAGTGCCAAATTCACTTTGCATCCAACATGAGATGCCACCGATGGTCCTTTTAAGCCATGAAAGGCACCAGTGCGAGGAAACAACAAACATATCCCATGGGCCAGCTGAGAAGCAGTATGTAATACACTCCTTTGCATCTTGATGAAGTGGGGCTGAGGTTTCTGCAGAGAAGAAACAATAGGGAAATTGTAAACAAATTCCATTCCAATTAACTGATTTGCAATTGCTCAGTGTTACTTAATTCTGAAGTTTTCTCTTTTCCTATTCCTCTGCTTCAGAAGGTTTTCCCATCTTCTTTCACAGAAACGGTTATTTTCTAGAATTAAGCAAATCCTGTTAGATTTCACCTCTTCACTTCTGAAATAAAATATCCCCTTTGAGCCCCTCAATGCTCATTCTGCTGCCTGAAACCATTTTTAAGATGTTTAGTGACACCTACTGCTTCATCTGCACAATATGGTACAGGTGCTGAAAAGTTACTTCATTTTTAGGAGTAACTGGTATCTCAGGTGATACTTCCAACCTGCACAGATGTAGTAAGACCTGACCGGAGTGCTTTAGTGATAATGGGATGTTCTTAAAGAGATACCACACACAACATAATTAAAATTAATTATGGTATTGAACTAAGAGAAAAAAATCATAGTTAGGAACAAAATAATCCCTGTAATCTCAAATGTTACGACACAAAGAACATTTTAAAACTGCAGATCATCCTCTTCTAGCCTTATGATTTATTAGTTACTCTTGAAAGTTTATAAGAACCAGTGTGAGGGTCTGCATAAAACAAAACAGGAATTTTGTTTGGTATGCATAATAACTTGTAACAGCAAACTACTGAATAACCAACTTTCCTTCCCACAAAAGAAAAATGGCTCCAATTGATTTTATATAACTAATGCCAGCTAAGTCAGTTATGTTACAACATGCAAATCTTCCTGATGTTTTTAGGTGCGTAACTACCTTAGTAAATCTTGATGCAAACTAGAAATCGTTCAAGTTTATTTAAGCTCCACAGTCATCTTTGCATCTCCTTCACCTACTACAGCCTTTATATACATTTTAATCAGGTTTTTTCATAGTTAAATCATCTAGGTTATTGAAAATGGTAAATAATTCATAATATAAACCGTGGTTTAAAATAAATGAACTCATACATAGCCTTTATTGCTTTTCAAATATGCAACAAAAAGGAAAACATTTTATCTTCAAAAATTGCTGCTCTTCCAATAGTTCCCTCCTTTCAAATACGTGTCTTGAACATATTGACAACTCTGCCAAAGTAGAAAAAAAGACACATTTAGAGAAGATACAAAGAACAGCCAACAGATGCTATTAACATCTCTGGTCAGTCTGAAACCTTGCTTACTGAAGATGCACCAGTGTGGATTCCATTTTGGACACTGACAAAACAATGGTAGGGCTTTTTTTTTTCCTGCATAAGTTCCTGGGCTCTGAATTAGTGTTTCATTCCAAGTTCAAGGACTTAAAAAAAAAAAAAAACAAAAAACAAACTTAAAATTCTTAAAATTCCCCTCAACAGGAGGAAGCAGTGGGGTCACCTCAGTGTGTTCAACACTCGTCAGTCAGTGGCTCACTGTGATGGGTAAATAAGTTGCAGGAACTTTGCTGAGGGAATTAAGCGTGCTTAAAACTCAACAACAGCCATAACTTCACTACTGGCTGAAAGCAGGGGAAGAAAAAGGATCGCTGCCAAGACTTGTTGTGCCATTTTTGTTCTTTCTTTATCCTCAGATGGACCTGGAGCTCACCAACTACAGGGTTGTTCTCGAGGATGTAAGACTTGCCTGACCAAAGGGAAGTTCTCTGGAGTAGATCCTAAAGAGGTCCTGAACCTTGTAGGCACGTATGACAGTATACTCCAGCTACAATTCTGAGAACCATCTTACTTTCTTTTTGTCTGCTTTAAAAAGCTTTTTGTTAGATACTTCATGTCTAAATAAAGGTTTTGATGCAATAGGGTTTACATTTGAGAGAATAGAACAGTTGGAAATTTCCAAGAGATGCTACTGTCTTACAGGGACTTGTTTTATTTTACATATCTGAACACAGAAGAGACCTTTGAAGTGTAAGTTGAGGATGACACTAATGTCGAGTAGGACTATGAGCCTAGAAGAGGAAAAGTGCTATATCTGCAATGGATAGAGCAGCATGTAGGAGAGGCAAATTAATAAAATGATATAGCATACACCTTATAAATTGACTTTAATTAACAAGTACTGTTAAAAGGGTGGTGGATACAGCTGCTCAACTGCAGTATTTTAATTACTTTGTTCAGCACCACAAACAACTCTTAAACGAGACAGACAACCCAAAGCATACAATACAGGTGTCTGGATATGGAACTGTAGTTGTTTCATCCTTCCAAAACACAATAGGCATCCAGGGCAATCTATCCTTTAAGACGTGATTAGTGCGAGGAAGTTTCCAGGCTCCTGGACACTCAACATGCAGCAGGAAAAGAAAAAAAGTGTCAGCCTATGGATTTGAGGCATTATTTTATTCTCTAAGTACAATACTTTCCTCAAGAAAATAATTAGTTACATGAGTTGTACAACTGCCCCTGTAACTTACGGTTTTCAAAACCCCTTAGATTTTAAGAAAGGACAGTAACACAGATGTTATCTACAATGGCACTGGATGACTTCTGAAAAGTTCTTTCTTAATTGCATTTAATTCCATTATTTGTTTTCCATGCTATTGCATGATGCTGCAAGAGCACAGAAAAAGAAAGAAGCTAAAATCTTCAAACACCGAGGTGGAAAAGCTGGTGGAACATTGTATAAAAACTGGGCAAAGGGAAGAAATTTTGAAGCATCTTAGCTTTTCCATTAGCTTTATCATAAATATGAAACAAGAAAAAAGAGTAAGAAGAACAAACTAACATGGTGACATCTAATGACAAATGCAGCTGTTCTCTGCTGTAAGAATCTCTGGTGGAGAGTAACTGAATTGATGCTAGTATGACAAACTATGAAATTAACACTTCTGAGATAAGGTCTCTTCTGTGTGGTTGTGTTCTGCTGGTTATTTAGTGGTATCTCCAGCTGGCAGTAAATGGAGCTGAAGAGATCTTGGCTGTTCAGGACACACTCCTGCTTGAGATTTTTGGACATCCATTTTATTTCTGAAGTCTGCCTCATGACAAGTGATCAACAAGCCCTCTGACATAAAGGGAGTGGCTCCCATGGCCTCTTGAGCATAGCTCAGCTCCTCATTACAGTGCCAGAGGTTTTGCTTAGGCAATTTTTTTACTTTTGTAATTTAGATCAGCTTCAGCACAAAACTGATGTACTTCAGGAGAAACCAATCTCTACTTGCACAGCAAAATCTTTGCCTTCCAGTGATTGTTAGGATGTAAAGATTAGACTTGCTTTTGTTTCTGAGAACAGCAGAAATTCAAGATGTCGCAGAGATGGCTTTGGATACTTACTAACATGTTAAGCAAACCAAACAAAACCCCAACAAACAGGGATGTCAGGAGAACAGTTAAGCAACAAGCCAGACAGATACAGATACAGCAAGAGCACTGCAGATATCTGCTTCTGGGAAGAGAAATGATGCCAGAGATGATGTCAGATGAAGCTTCCAAATAGGATCATTTCACTAAGAACAGTTATCCTTTCATAATGAGCAAGTTTTGAGCTGCCAGCAAAAATGTGAGAATGGCAGTAGCATAAAGACAGCAAAACCTCCAGTCTAAGATCTTTTCTAAGGAGGTCAGAGAAATCCAAGGGAATTGATGGTACAGTACACACAGACTGCACTGGTTTATTTTCTCATTCTACAAGAAACACTCTGGACACAATATGTAAATACGGATGGATTTAAAGCACTTGTTCTGACAGTGGTTAAAAACAGAACATTAATTATACCACAGGAGAGTTCCCAATGAAAATCTATGAGCTTTTTCCATTCCCAAGATACTGTTCTACAAAATCAATTTATACTCCTATCAATTTTAGAGCAAAAAAAAGAAAAAAAAAAAAAAAAAAAGAAAGATCAAGCAAACTCGGAGGACTGTGTTTTGTGTACACAGAAGAATTTGCAAAGGACACAAACAGAGTTTTCAGAAATCCTTTCCAGTTCACATTTCCATCTCCATCACGCCTAACCTCCCTATTTTCCCTTAGCAAATGCTGTGCTCTAATTTTTAAATGTATTGCATTCCTACAGGTCAACACTAATGTGAGTGCAAACTTTTAAACTCTTACTTCATCAAACTACTATAGCTCATGCTCAGACTTAGTACTGTTTTTGGTAACCTAGTGAGGTCAAGAAAGTAGAATAAACAGACAGAGTGTCCCTATAAACATGGCAGTCTCTGCTACTACAGTCTTCTGAGAACTGGCAAGCACAAGCAAAAGTTGCTTTGGGTAGCACAGAAGCTCTTGCAGAGCTTTATGAACTCTGAACATTGGGTTCAGTCATTAAGTAAAGCAGGAGAACACAATGCAGTGAGCATGATGAATTGTAGATCTGGAATGCCAAACAGAAGTCTTAACAGCTGGTCTGCATCCAGTCAATGTGACAGCAGTATCCCCATTCTCCTGTATATGGAGAAGCATTAGACCTCAAATTTGCACACAATTGAGCATATCCAAAGTGTGAATGTTTTATCTATTTTCTAAAAGACTATTCAGCTGTCTGTAGTGCTTTCTGCTCCAGCCTGTTTAATATCTAGCATTATTCTACGTTTTAACCATGAACTCCATCCAGCTTTGCAGTGCTGAACATCTACGCGGGGCTCCTTCATACTAAAGTTTCACTCTGCCCTCTACTGATTTTTTACAGAAGTACAGAAGTTTGCACCAATACAAAAGGTTTCTACCGTCCTTTTTATTTCAGGATAACACAGAAACTTTCCCAAGCAACCCCAAACAGCCTCTTTCATCCTTGAATCTTTCGATGTTTCATTAGTTCATCTCTCTCAAAACACTGGTATTTTTCTTTCAGGAGAGTTGAACCAACATGAGAGCACGTGGGGTGGGTGTGGGTAGGTCTGCCCAGCAAGAGAAAGTCTTCAAGTCAAGCAAAAGCTTTGTAAAAGACAGTGCATATGAGTAAACTTCATCTAGAACAGTTTCTTGCATGTCTTTGAAATCTCTAAGAAAAAAAGACAAAACTGAATGGCAGCTTGTTCAAGACCTCCTGCTATTTCTAATTTGGATTCCAGTAGTCAAGCTCATTTTCACATTCATAATCTTCCCAATTACTCAAGACTTGATTGACATAAAATTTAGATAATTTTTAAATTAAACAGCTCTTGGAGATGGAAACACATATTTGGTCTTATTTTGAAAGGTGTAATAAAGCAACTGGAAACACACTGCAGATACTGTCACCTCCACTAGAACAACTACTTCTAAATCAAATCAAGCTTAGCCTTTTTGAAGAGGCAATATCAAAAACGTGTAGGTACTCACACTTTCCTTTAACTAACTGTAAAAGGCATTTATTAAGAATATGCTTAAACTTAGATCTTAGCATCAACTCTGTACAACCTTTTCCCTCATCTTGCACTGAGACTACCAAAACGGCTTCCTTTCTGGCTGCAATAAATGCCATTTTACCACCTCAGGTCCTTGCAGGTCTCATCTCATCATCCCTCATCCCATCTCTCCCTATCCCAACAGCAGCCAACAGTACCAGCCATAATGAAATTGTTACCTAATGAAATCTGCATTAAACCAAACCCAATCCTCTGTCTCCCATCCAAACAACTTCAACAGGAACAGAATCTACAGTGGAAGCATCAAGCTCAAGACTCTCATACTTTCAAACTGCACTTTTTCACATTTTTAAACACTGAAGTGCTGTCATTTTCTCCCAGCAAAAAAAACCAAAAAACCAAAAAAACACAAAACAACACAGAGAATGATCATCTCTCAGCAGAATTACTGTTGGCAGACATTCACTTCCACTGCAAATCTTTTCTAAATATTCAGAGTTAAGCTTTGAATTCTCTGTTGTGAATTCAAAGTTGCCCATATGGAGAACTATGCGTAGTATCAATCAGAAAATCTTGAAGAATTATGTGTGAAGAGGCTGATCATAACATTTACAGAACACACACATGCTCAAAACCACATTCATCATCATAATTTTTAGTAAATGCTGTTCCCCATGTCTCCACATACAAATGCAACCTGTTAGTATGACAGAAAGTATTACTTTTGTTAAGGTTTGGGTAGCTGAATTGATAAACTTTCTTTGGCCACTACTCAATCCAGGCAGCATGTTTTTTTTAGAGGACATGACTGATAACGTTGCCAACCGTGCAACCGACAGTGACAATATCTGCAAGTATCTGAAAGAGCATCACTCACAGAGCAGAGACTTCATTCCAGAAGGAACTGTGATGAGACTTCAGTTATAGGAGCATAATGACAATCTTGAGTGCAGCCTGAAGCAGCAAATTGGGCATATTCAGAAGATAACCTCCAGAACGGGGTTCCATCCAATTTACATGAGGGCACCACAACAGGATTCAGATGGTCCCCTGGGTACCAGGAGGAGTCTTTCAGTCAGCCATACTCTTTGCAGCATTCCAACTTCTCCCTCACCCTTCTCAATGCCACCTACCCAAACCATCTCATTACCACAATCAAGAGCTGCTTAAGACATCTCAAAGTCATGGCAGGATTCTGACAGTGTACAGAGCCTACCAGTAGAACATGACCCATCAGACACCTCCCTAAGTGCTGAGCAGTTATTAGAAAAACAGTGTGGAGCTCAGTGGATTCACAAATTCTTTTTGATGCAATATACAGCCTACTGTTGCTTAGCAAAGAAAACACAGTTGAAAGATCTTCCACCAGTCAGAAATTGCCGTACCTAAGCCACATATTTTTAATCACTCCTCATAGCTATAGAACATAACTTGTTCTTGTCCTTCTAGGGGATGCTGCAACATTTGGAGACAACAAACAAGGATACGCAGTCTTATTTCTTTCCCTCTTATTGAGAGCAAGAATTTGCGAGCCACAGATCAGAGAAAAACTGACTTCCTATGGAGTGGTGTCATAAGGCTGCGTTTGCTGGCATCCAAACAACAATGAAATTCAACTGAGGATCCTTGCACAGTTAGGGCATTCAATACAACTCCCTTACGCATATTCTTTTGTTTCCTAAGATTGAGTTTAAGTTGCAGCTATTTTTCAAAAGCATCAAGTATGACCTTCCTTCCACTTTCAACAAACATCTAAAAGACTACTATTTCTCTGATTGCAACCACTCTGTCAAAGATAGCTAGTATTACTGGTCTGTTCTTTCTTACCTAATTCCAGCGCATACACTTCACTTTCTTAGGAAATCATGCTAAAAACTGAAGTTACTACCCAACTTAATGCCTTCCTCTGTTGACCAGTACTTTTCATGTCTTTTTCGTTAGAAACCTGGAGCACCACAAAGCAGGCTGACTGGTACATGCTGGGGCTAAGCACTGTCACCACAGTTAAAGATAAGCACCTTCACATGCTACTCAGTTCCACCAACCAGTTTTGGAAGAAACAGAACTGCTATAAAGCCACTCATGCATCTATATTTAGAATCAATAAAATCAATGTATCTGAAAATTTGCTGTTTTATAATTTAGAATCACAGAATCCTTAGAGTTCAAAGGACGTCTGAAGGCCATCTAGTCCAACTGCCCTGCAATGAACAGGGACAGCACGGCTACATCAGGATGTCCAGGGCCTGATCCAGCCTCATCTTGAAAGTCTCCAGGGACGGGGTATCAACTACATCTGTGGGCAACCTGTTCCAGTGCCTCACTACACTCACTGTAAAAAGCTTTTTCGTTATATCCAACCTAAATCTGCTCTCTTTGAGCTTGAAACCATTTCCCCTTGTTCTATCACCACAGACCCTGCTAAAGATTCTGTCCCCTTCTATCCTGTAGCTCCCTTTATACACTGAAAGGCAGCTATCAGGTCACCTCACAGCCTTCTCTTCTCCACGCTGAACAGCCCCAGCTCACTCAGCCATCCTCATAGGAGAGGTGCTCCATCCTGTGGAATGTACTCATTAGTATTTCACGGTATAACCCTCAATCTCTTCCCTCATTCCGTTTTTTGCAAGGAAACGCTGCTCAATATCTGGAGAACTGCAGAGGATCTCCTGCTACAACACCATACACAGCCACAAACAGCCAACTTTGTGTTTTGTTTATATAATGACTGTTGCACACGGCCAAGGTCAGTTTTTGGACACGACCAAATAACAGATCCCTACAACTACAGTTTACAGCCCAGCTAACTCATACTTTCTTTTTCTGATGGGTACAAATGGAACGAACCCTAGTTTTACTATTCAGATATCTATGTTGTATGGGAACTGCTGAGTAACGGCCTGAACCTCTGATTGATCACCTGAGATGAGCAGTGAGTCAGCCAGAGGAGCACAGGTGAAGGCAATTCAGCTGTGCTGCCTGGCTCCACCTCTCCTAGATCTATTTAAGAGCTGGCTACCAGTGGGGAAGGATCTCTTCAGGAGATTGCCTTTGCTGGTGTTTTCTGAGCGAGCCCAGGATAGGGGTAAGCTTTCCATTTATTCTCTTTTGTTATCATAATCTGCTCTGCCTAACTCTCTTGTTTATTTTATGATTATAACATCCTAATATTTTTTGATTATACATATGTTTAGAAAGAGCAATGTTACGTCTGGAAATCTAACAAAAATAAAGCCTTTTTTGTTGTTCAATCATCATATAGTCAGTTTGATGACAATACGATGTTAAGAAGAACTAAAGGCCACTAGCATAGAAAGGATTTAAGTGGCTCAAAGGAAATGCAGGTCCTTGAGAACTGAGATCACTGCTATGTGTGCTTCAGAAAAGTCTAGACATCAAGCAAGGTTGTTGTCCTACCACATAAACACAATGCCTCAATGGGGAAATTAATTCTGCCCTGCACAGAACAACAGAGGGGAAAAAAAAGGCTGGAGGACTGACATAATAAGACACACCAAGCTGGTATACTGAGATGCAGTTAAACTCCAATTTTCCTGACAATTTGAAGCCATATATTCTTGACTTAGTAAGAACAAAGTATGTTGGACTCAACACACCTGTGCTGGTACCTTCAAGATCAACAGAATCTCAGAAGGTATCATCTCAGCAGATCATAAGGATTTTACCTTGATACTCTGGTAGACAACTGTGTAGTTCACGCACTTCAGATCAACAATCATAGTCCAAGATTCAGAAATTCTGAAAAGACTCCCAATTACTTCTAGTAGATACTTTGACTTGAGTGAAAGTGAAGGTTATGGCAAGAAGAAAGAGAATACTGCTTAGGTTACAGCAGCTTTTTTTCTTTATTTTTAAGTCTTGGATCATGAGAAAACAAAAGACTATTTTCCCTGTCCTTATGGTAATGGAATAGCAGCAGGAGTAGAAAGTTATTTTTCAATTTAAAAAAAAAAAAAAAGCTTTGCAACTTAATTTGTTATTGTGCTCATAACATTCTATGATTCTTGAAGCTTTTAAGTGGTCAGATCATTTTCACACTACATTCACATTTGCATTTATCTTTCCTAAGGAAACAGAGTGGTTCAGTGGAGACTGGTTTCTGACTTTCTTCTTGCTGTGCTGGAAAACACTGAATATACGCATTCTCTTCTGAAATTTCACCAACGCAAACTGCCACATGCTACCAAGTTCTTAAGCATTCATACTGCCTGGGAAGATTTCAGGCATATCTGACAGACCTCAGCTATTTGTGATTTTTATTCAATTCGTACTCTGGAAACATTGCTGATGTTGGATCTACTTCTCAAAAAACATTCATCTTCAACAGTCTGGGCTTATAGCATATCAACATCAACAGTTATAACTGGATCTTGCTTGCAATCTGCAAAACTAACTGAATTCAAGGAATGCCATAGATTCAACTACCAGCTTTAGAGATTTTTCTGTTGCCATCGCACCACCTGTCTGCTTATCTCCAAGATCAGCATGGAAATCAAAGTGCCATCCAGATTCAGAAACATGCTGAGATGCAAACTGAGGCCTGTTATCTGAAATAATGGGACATCAAGAACTCCGTTTTCCAAAAGCAGACATCATTGTCTCAATGATGTCTATAGGCATACACAAAGAATTAAGTCAGTTTGCATGGAGAAGAGATCATCTGCAACAGCAGAATTACATGGAGCCTTTTAAACTAGATCAGATCATTTGTTATCAGGCTCTACAGCCTATGAAGCAGATGCATGGAAAGTCACGCTAGACAAACTTTTTTTCATCTTACATTTGTTACATACTCTTAACAGAGTCTGCATCTGCCTACTCAGTTTTTGCCATGTGCAAGCCATCTGATATCCACCCACCCAAAGCATCCAATGATTTCTTTTTCTCCCAATGGGAGCAGTGATTGCAATTCCACAATGTTGCCACAGAGGTCAGTCATATCGCTTTCAACTCAAGCGGATCTTGCACTGTGAAAGGAGATAAACACCTGTCAAGCCCCATAGAAGGAGAGAGACTGGGGATACATTACCCTCTGCACAAACATTTCCCATACAGAAGCAGCTGCGAATCAAATTAACAAGGAGCACACGCATCAAGGTATGCTCCAGAGTAAGAGCTTGCTCCCTGTCACTCCCTAAGTATCATAACTTCAAGGAATCTTTTTAAGGCTTATGCTTGCAACAGTAAAACTCTTCGGGTTTAGCTAAGTTGAGGAATGCTGTCAGCTGAAATTTGCTTAACATACGTTTTGGTGTGGACTTTGGGGCATTTGATGTGCTGCTGTCCAAATTCATGCTTCCTCCTCTGGGCCGGCTTTAGAAAGCACTTCAGAAACAGACACAAATGAGGTCAGACATGCAGTCTGTAATACCAGACAGAGAGGCACATTTGATTTAAAAATAAGAAATGACTCCTCTGATCTAACAGTCTTAGCAAAAAGCCTTCTGACTTCTAATACTCTGAGTGTCTGGAAAACACTCATTGTTAAGAAGCAGACTACCAGTGAGAACCATAAATGCGTACAAGTTTGCCAATAGGGTTCTGTTTTGTTCTGATAGCCATTGTCTCCTGAGGGTTCTGAGACTTTTACAGCTATCCCAGACAGGAAGCATGAGAAGAAAGGCTGACGGCCCAAGAGGAGCACAGAAGCATCATTTTACCTCACACAGCTCAGAGGAGCACAATCAGATTTCTCAACTTTGAGACTCCCCGGTGGGGGAAAGCAGTCTTTTGCATTTATCTGCCACACGCTGCCAGCGAGTCACCGAGAAGCACCCAGCACGCTGAGCACAACCTCTGTACTGCCACCTGCGGTATCCTGTTAGGACTCTCAGCCGAGGCCCCTCAGCAGCTCACTCCGTAATGCCGTCCCACAGCGGCGGCCGACACGTTCCAAACGAGGCAGGACGACTGCAGGACGTGCGGGACAGCGGGCGGCCCGGAGCCCCGGCGTTCTGCCCCTCCCCGCCCGCAGCCATTCCCCAGCTCCCCCGCGACTACAGCAGCGGGACCGGGGGCACGGCGCGCACCTGCCCGACGGCCGCGGGGCTGAGAGCTTCCAGCCGCCGCCCCGCCCCTCAGCGCCGACAGCCATCCGGGAGCCCCGCGCCCTCCCGCTCCCAGGCCGGTCCCCCCGCCCCAAGGTACCTCGCGGCCGAGCCACCGCTCCTCCTGCGGGCCGGGGACCCTGGGCACGCGCCAGGCGGCGGTTGACCAACGGCCACTGCCGGGAGCGCGCGCACGCGCCGCTCCCTCCGCCTGCTCCACCACCCCCCTCCCTCACTCCCGCGCGCGTCAGGACAACGTGCAGCGCCGCCCGTCCCCAACCATCACCTTGGGACACGGAGGAGCTCAACTGCGCACGCGCGGCTCTTCCGCCTCCGCGCGCGGCCTTCTGGGACTCGTAGTCCTCCCGCAGAACGAGCCCTAGCTCCTACCGCGCGCGTGCGCAGTGTCGCTTTCGTCCCCCGGATATGACGTCTCCGCGGTAGAGGCGTCACTTCCGCAAACAGGATGGCGGAGGGTCGTGCTGGGTGAGTAGCGCGCGTCTTTCTCAATGGCCTGGCGGTGGGGGCGGGCTGGCAGGCAGCAGTGCGGGGAGACCGGCGGCCGTTGGGCTGAAGGCCTGGCGGTCAGCCGGGGCGGGCGGCAGCCACGCTGCTGGGAAAGCAGCTTCCATAGCTCCACGGTTGAGGAGCGCGGGCCCTGCTTGCTAAGGGTGGTGTGGAGCCTCGGTGAGCCCTGTGGCAGTGATGTGCTGCACTGCACCGGGAGTTACGGGAATACAGACACAGTTGAAGGCTCCTGGTGTTAGTGAGGACATCGTGAGTACTCTTGGTAAAGTTCAGAATCCACGACTGATGTTGAGGATTCCTTTCTATAAAGCGTCCTGATTTCTGTGTTTGATGGAAATTATGTGACGTTAAAAGATCAGCTTGCTATTTTGAAGCATTCCGTTGGTTTGTATTTGTAAATATAAAGTGGCTTGCAGGTTATATTCTAGAGGGAAGAGGGTGGTTATGGTCTCAAACCCAGTGAAAAGTAGCAGGTTAAGCAAGAAAGATAGCTGTGGAAAATCGATGGAAAATCATTGCTGTAATTGAGAGTATGTTAAATTCAGTGCCAACAGTAGATCTTTTTTCTCCATAGTTTATTTTGATCAATAGGTAGGGAATTTAACCTGTCAAAAATGGCTGACTTAACCAAAACTGAAGAAAAGGAAGTGGAGAAGAGTTTGGATGAAGAAGTGGAGGGAACATCTCATGCTTCAGAATCAGATTCAGGTATTAATTTGGAAGGCAATAGCTCGACTTCAGGTACAACGCACTCCACCGAAAATGAGAACAAACTTGCTAGTGGTGATCGGGGCAGTGGCCTGAAAAGGAGTGTAGCAGATGTTGGAGATGAACCTCCTAAGAAAGTTCCGGTGAGTATTGTTCAGTTTAACAGAATGTTGGCATGAACTTGTGGGTAGCTTTGTTGCACTATAGTGGGTGCAGAAGTTATGTTGGTCTTAAAGAAGAGAAAGAGGGTCAGTAGAAGTCAGTGTGTTTTGCATGCTGAGTTTTATCCTGTGTGTTACTCTAGTTACCTATGCGTGACAGTTTCTTCCCTACGATAATTTGTCCTTTTATTTCCTGAATAAAATATTGTGAAACTTAGAAAACTTTTCAATATGGTTTGTTATCAAACTGGAAGGTTTGGAGATGCTTTCTCTCGTTTCTTTTGTGTTTGTCTCTTTTCTGTTTAAGACTGTGTAGGAACAGCAGAAAGTGTTTGCCTTTCTAACTGAAGGGTAAAAAAGAGAAGCAGTCTTTTATATGAGACTTTCTCTTCTTGTGTACGGGTTTGTAGAAAATAATGCTGTATTCTTCTTCTGGACTAATTTTAACCTCTGGAAATATTTAAATGCAACTTTAAAATGTTTTTAACCTAGTGCTTTGTTTCTCTAGTTTTTACTGCGTTTTAACTTAAGCAGTCTGGGAAAGTAATACCCTTTGTTGTGGTAGAAGCACCTTTTCATCTTTTTAATAAAGTACGTGTGGGATCAGGTTTAGGTGGACAAATAATACATTGCTTTTGTGTAGCCTAAGGGTATAGAGAGTGATTACACTGAAAGCAGCTGCCAACAATCTGGGTGTTACTGTAGTTTTCTACTTGTGGACGCAGCAGCTGAGAGGCCTTGCTGGATTATATGTATGTGTCTCACATGTTTATCAAAGTCACCTTCAGCAGCTATTGAGCAGGCCACTTGTGCTTTTCCTAAAAAAAGACTAGAAAAGGACAAAATATTAGTCTCAGTCAGCTAAGTGAGGTAATAAATAGATGATGAGGTTATACTGTTCCAGACAAGAATGTCTTGTACATGCTTAAGTTTTTGAAAGTAGTATAAAACACTGAAGAACTAATGTAGCTTATTAAAGTCTGTGAGACCTTCTTTTCCCTTAAGTGATTGGTATGTCATTGATAAGGTATCAGGGTGTTGACTTTTGTTGTGGATTACTGTTGGAATGGGTTTCCATTGGAATGTAAACTCATAGTGGCTAGAATTCTGGGGCATGTTTGTGAGTTTTGACTGAGAATTCTTCAATTTGTTTGTCCAATTAGATGCTTTTGTGCTTCACAGAATTTCTATTGGTTCTCAGTGTTCTGTTATTGCATTTATAATTTGTTTTTTCACATGTTGTGTATACAACTGAAGGTTGTTTTTAAGGTGATGAGATGTTTGGAGCTATAATATGTAGTTATAGAATGCTTTTCAATATCATGTGGGGCTTTTATTTTCAGCTTGTTATGGTAAGGCTGAACCAGAGTTATTTCTATAGCTAGATAAATACTAAATGGGATACTCTTCATCAAGTCATTATTCTCTTTCATACTGCTCTTTCTCTCTACAGAGTGAGGCAGGCCATGGGCAAGCTGTAGCTGCACATTATAATGAGCTTCAAGAAGTTGGGTTGGAAAAACGCAGCCAGAGTCGCATATTCTACCTCCGAAACTTTAATAACTGGACAAAGAGTGTCCTCATTGGTAAGTTTTCTCTCCTAATTGCTTAGACTTTAATGAAATGTTTTATTTTTCATACTATTATTTTTCATACTATTTTAAAAGAGAAAGGGACAGTTTTGGATCATAAATAATCTGTTCTTGTTGAGCTTTTATTGCTATATTTGAATCTATCTCAATCAGTTGCTAAACTGTACTCTCAGAACAGATTGTCCTTAGGTCTTGAACACACAAAATAAATTTTTTTTTGTGATACTGAAGTAAGCACTTTAAAAAGATGAAAAGCTAGAGAATTTGATTCTTAAAGAAGCAGCTGCTTTTTACATAAAGCAATATCTGTTGTCCACAGATTGGTTTCCTCACTCTGGAATTAAAACTTCACATCTTCCGACAGGGGAAAGATTTATCAGCAGAGAAAATTCATGGGGAAGGAGCTATGCTAAGAGATGTTGTCACCACTTGTCTTAGCATGCTGTTTTTTCTTCTGTTTTATCAGAGCAGTTAAAAGCAGTGTTTCGGTTCATGTAAAGCTGTTCTTGAAATGTGTTCAAGCCTTTCAGTCACAGTCTAATCTCATTAGTTTGGCATTACAGCTGTAGTCTCAAAACATAGTTTGCATCTCTTGCTGTGAAGTTGCTAATGTGTCAATATGTGTTCCTAACACCAGCATTAGCACAGATTGACTCTAGACAGAGTAGAGATAGAAGAGAGAATGAAATGTTGAGTATGTGTTGAGTAAAAAGACAGCAAACAAGTGGCTAGTGTTATTGCAAGGCCTGGGAAAGACCAAGTGGGGAACATTATGCAAGTTTGTAATGTGACTGCAAGAAAAGATTGTGGCTGATGTGTTTAGTTGGCTTTAAATCTTTTAGCTTTCACACACTTAAAAATAACATCTGCCTTCACCATAGTGGTAAAGAAAGGGAACTCTGTTCTCTCCTCATGCATGGAACAGTTGTTTAGAGATGTGCAGTTTTGCTTTTGTTTACCAAGGACGTAATTCAGTGTTCCAGTCACATTACAGGCAATGTACAGAATGTACAGAAAATATTTATCTTGTTCTTTGTCATAACAATTTGTGGTTGTTACTTTCATCGTTAGTAGTTTCTAGTACAAGGAGTTTAAGTCTGCAGTGTTAAGAACACTTAACAACAAAGAAAGTTCTTAAATGGTTCAAAATCCTTGAACCCCTTTGGTCCTCTAAGGATCTCTGTGCAATAGAAATAAGTCACAGAGACCTCTATGAGCATTCTGTCTTTTATTTTCCTAGGGGAATTTATAGACCGCGTACGACAGAAAAAGAGTGATATTACTGTTTTGGATCTGGGATGTGGCAAAGGTGGAGACTTACTGAAATGGAGGAAAGGCAGAATTAAAAAACTTGTCTGTACAGGTAAGAAGGCACAGTAACTTTCTGGGGTAAGTTCACTGATGTTATGGGAAAAATAAGCACGTCTCTGGTCATGTAGTGTTTCCTTTTTTATGGTGTGCCCCAGAGTGCATACATCTTTTGTCAAAAAGATTTCTTTTGTATATTAACTTGAAGACATTTGTTTGCCAGCATACACAGAATATTTATCATTCTTACAATTATGACATTCCAGTTCAACTCTCAAATAAAAACTAGTATTGGTAAAGAAGCACATTGTTAAGGTTGGAAAAAACCTACAAGATCACCCAGTCCAACCATCCACCCATCACCAATAGCTCTCACTAAACCATGTCCCTCAGAACAACGCCCAAACGTTCCTTGAACACCTCCAGGGTCGGTGACGCCACCACCTCCCTGGGCAGCCCATTGCAGTGCTTGACCACTCTGACCACTCTTTAAGAGCAGAAAGATGATATCATCTTCCCTTCTCTCAAAAAGCATTCTAGGTATCATCAGTCAGAGGAGACATTGCTTAGTTTCAAATTTAATACATACCAAGATTTCATACAGTTCCTTTATTGAGAATTATTCTGGGTATTCTACATTTTATAGGTCTTTGTTGCCTTTCTTTTTCAGTTGGCAGCCTTCAAATATAGTCAATGAATTTGCTTACAGAGACCTTATAAATAAATATAAAGTAAATAAATATAAAGTAAATAAATTATCGATTGTGCATTGCTGGTTTTAAAATTTCTCCAAGTGTCATTATTCAGTGAAACTCTGCCTGTGCAGGAAATAGCCTTAAAAACAAAAAAAATCTCTGAATGTATTTATTTGTGATATATACTCAAATTTCAACATCTTTTGTATTTGTAAAAAAGTAAAGAGTTTTCAGTACTGACTGAAAAATGCCTTGAAGCTTTACTGATTTAGCTAATCCAAAGTAGACAGTTAATGATCGCAGCACTTAGTATATCCATCATGTGAAGTTTTGAAAGCATCCTTTGGGCTCACGAGGATGGGAACTTTCTAAAATCATAGAATCCTTAGAGTTGAAAGAGATCTCTAAGGTCATCTAGTCCAAGTGCCCTGCAGTGAACAGAAACACCACAGTTACATCAGGTTGCCCAGGACCTGATCCAGCCTCACCTTACAAGTCTCCAAGGACAGGGCATCCACCACCTCTCTGGGTGTTCCATTGCCTCACCACTATCACTGCAAGACGTCTTCCTTATATCTAACCTAAATCTATCCTCTTTAAGCTTGGAGCCATTTCCCCTTGTTCTATCACCACAAACCCCACTAATGAGTTTGTCCCCTTCTAAAATCTAATGGCTACAACCTCTGTCAGTGTTGGAGACTGAAAATGAACAGAAGTTGTAATCTCGGATGCTACCTGCAAATGAGATTTTCTCTACAAGCTGGGCATAAAACTTCACGTCAGAGTATAACTGGAGATCAGCTTTAACTTGTGGCTTTATGACTCTGCAGTGTTCCAGTAATCATTCTAGTTTTCTTGTCTGGGGCGAGGTTTACACTTCTGTTTGTTTATTTCTAAAAATCTCTCTCTATAGATATTGCTGATATTTCTGTGCAGCAGTGCAAGCAGCGATACGAAGACATGAAAGCCCGATGTCGCTATAATGAACGTATTTTTGATGCAGAATTTATACAAGCAGATAGTACCAAGGTAGAGATATGGGTTATAATACTTCTGGGATTTAAAATTCTTTTGTTCAGCAAACACAGGAAGTGATGGTAGCTCTGTAGTACCCGGCTGTTGTTTTGTATTTTTTAAATCAGATTGTTGTGCTATTGGGAGAATCAACCATACAGATTATTACAATGTTGCATAAAACTGTGTTAAATGTATTTGCTGTAAAGTGCAACTTTAATGAAGCTTGATTGTCTTTTTCAGGTAATAAACCTGTTGCTTTTAGGTTCTTTCATTTGATGAGGGAAGGCAATGAGTATTTGTTGCTGGAATTTCTGGGGTTCAGCATGGGGTGGTGAAAACTATCTTGGTGAAAGTGTCTCCATCCTGGAGTGAATAAGGGGCGCTTTGTAATTTGACTTGTACAGTTCATTTTGCATAATGCAGTATTTTTTTCTAGTAGCATTTTATTTACTATAATATTTACCTTCCCTAAATGAGGAAGTGAATGAGAAGTCTGAGAGGGAAGAGAAACTGAGCTAGCTATGAAATATTTGCATGTCGTGGGCCCTGGAGAGAATTTTCTTGCTGCTGTGTTATTTGTAATTGCTGCTAGTACTGTAGCCTGAAAAGAGAAGCTGGAAAACTGCTGGAATACATGGCCAAACTGTACCTGTTTCAAGAGCTTCATGTTCTCCAGAGTTACTGGTTACTTAGATTAAAGAGGGGTATGGAATTATATATGTATGTACGTATTCGAAAATACAAACAAATGCAACTTGGTTGGCATGAAAATTGCTTTATACAACTTTATTACTTTAATAACTTTAATAACTTTAATACAACTCCTCCATTAATATGTGTAATGGGTATCTTCCTAGCAAAATGAATGTCTGTTGTCATTACAGAAATGTGGGAAACTGAAAGCATGTTTTATTATGATGATTGTTTCTGTCCAAACTGTGAATGGTTATGAAACCTTAAGCAGTAAATTATCTCTGGAAATTTCTAGGGAACTGTGGTTTTTCAGATGTAGTGATGTAGTTACTTGATGACAAGAGGAGAATTTTAGGACATCATTCTTTTATCATGATAACAAGTTTTTTCTGTGTTATCAGTGAGTTTATTTCTTTCTCTTACCTTTTTTGTCTTGTTCTGATTGAACTTGTGAAGGAGTAGATATTAAGTGACTTGAAAGAATTATGGGAGTAGTATATTTTGCTACAAGACTTAAATGAATCATGCTTGTTTGTGTAGCTTTTGTCACAAGTGCTTTTTTCCTTCTTTCTTCTTTTTAATTTCAGGATCTTCTGTCTCCCAAATACAGTGATCCAGACACACGCTTTGACATTTGCAGCTGTCAGTTTGTTTACCATTACTCATTTGAGACATATGAGCAGGCTGACATGATGCTTAAAAATGCCTGTGGGAACCTCTCTCCTGGAGGTTATTTCATAGGCACGACTCCAAATAGCTTTGAGCTTGTGTAAGTTCTTTTTTAGCCTATTAATCTTCTAAAAGTCTGTGAAGTATTGTCAAGTCATAGTTGTTCTTACATTGCTCTGATACACTTGTGTAAACAAAACTGAACTTTTTGCAACAGTTTTGGATTCTGGTCAGGAAAATCTCTCTGGTTAACTAAAACAGGTATACTTGTACTGATTCTGGTCTCTGGTACCCATGGCTTTTCTGGAGCCAGTGTGGATCTTCATACACAAACCTTTGGTAGTGACTTAAATAATGGCAAAGTAGTTACAGCCTGGACAGCAGCTGTCAGGTTTTAGTTTAGTTACACCAATAAACATTCTTTGAGCCTGTAGATGTGCCTGAGCTAAAGATTTTTCTAGATCTATATGTTTCTGGTATACTGTAGAGGAATGATAAACTTTTAGAATATAGCACATCTCTTCATTTCTTTTCATTTTCATTGCTTTATTGGATTTGGAATGTGGGAAAGTACAGGAAACTGAACAAGGTGATACTGGGGAAAAAACATTTAGAGATCTCTTGTGCATTGTTTTCTCCATAAAATTAAAAACATTTTTATCTCGTTTTATAGAAAGCGACTTGAAGCTTCAGAAACAAATTCATTTGGGAATGATGTATACAGTGTAAAATTTGAGAAGAAGGGAGAATATCCTTTGTTTGGCTGCAAATACGATTTCCACTTAGAGGAAGTTGTTGATGTCCCCGAGTTCTTGGTTTATTTTCCATTACTGGAGGAGTAAGTTGAATTTTGAATTCATGATATAATGAGAGCAGCAAAACAACATAAGCATTTATATAGCTTGTGTATTTCTGCAAATCACTGCAGAGGATCTTATTTTGTCTTTCTTATGTTTTCCAGTTCTTTGTTTTTTGTTGTCACTCTAAATGAAGAGTTTTCTTGGATTTCTGTCCAAGACAGTAACCTAATATCTGTCCATTGCTCAACTGAAGGTGCTCTGGTCATTGGTGCATCCTTAGAAATATCCTGTGTCTTATATAGGAATTTCTGTACCTGGTTGATCTTGCTTGTCTTTTCCACCCTTTGTTGGAACGTTCATAGATTTTGTCTTTCTTCTAAGTCTTTTTCTGTGAGCACCATTTTGCTGTTACCACTGCATGAGTTCGGATTGACCTTTCCCAACCTGTCGTCTTCTGAGATACTGACAAATGTTTCCGTATTGTTTTTTTTTCCTCTGCCATTCAAGCTCAATATGAATGTAAAGCAACGTTGAGCTTTCTCTTCAAATCTGTATATTTTCACACACTTTGTTTGCAGTTCTTTATGAAGAGTAATAGCATTAGTTGCTGGTGCTTGTAGCTTCAGTGTTGTATAACAACAGTGAAAACATACAATCGAGATGTAAGGCACTAAATGTAGTAGAAAGAGAATTCTGTAATACATGCATAATAGCTGTGGCAGATGTTGATTACTGATATGAGTCCTGGAGATGTTTTTTCTGTTGAAATGTTTATGATGACTTCTGTCTAGATTTTTGTGTTTTTAAAAAAAACAAAACAAAACAAAAAAAGGTACACTTCATGATGATAATGCAGTTATTTTCATCCAAATGAGTTTACTAAAAGAATTCTAGGAAGACTGTAATCCCAGTGAATACCATGAGATGTCGCTGTGACTTAAAATGGTTCTTTTGAGAATGAAGCTACAATAACTTTATTACTATACTACAATTATTTTGACAGAATGGCAAAGAAGCATGGTATGAAGCTAGTTTACAAAATGACATTTCGGGAATTTTATGAAGAAAAAATCAAGAACGAGGAACATAAGATGCTGCTAAGAAGAATGCAGGCCTTGGAGGTAAATGTGGAGTTAACATCTTTCTTTCAAATAGTATTTTATATCTAGTTAATTATTTGTGAAATAACTGAAATGCCTGTTGTGGACATTAAGCAATTAAGTAAGGAGCACCTTAAGTGTTGAAAAGTACTGAACTCCTGTGGCTGAACAGGGTAATTATAGTGAGTTAATCTTTGTTGGCTGATAGATGCCCACCCAGCTGATTTCTCACTTCCCTTCTTAACAGGACCATGACAGGGAATTTAAAAAACAACAACAAACAAACAACAAACAAACAACAAAAATCAGACAAAAAAGATCATGGTTTGAGATAAAGACTCAAACCCTGAACGTTTTTGCCTGAAAGACTGCTTACCAATTGTCATCATTTGCAATCCAGACTCAACTTAGGGAAGATTAATTTACTGAAAATTAAAAAAGAACAAAAGAAAAAGTATGGTGGGAAATGAAGACACACCCCATTGCCCCTTTCTTCTCTGGCTCAACTTCACTCCTTCATTCATGACTCCTTTACCTGCTTCACTTGACAGAGTGGCTCTGGGGGATGAGGACTGTGGTCATTGCATAACAGCTCCTTTCTGCTGCTCCTTCCTCCTTGCTGTTTTCCCTTGCTCCACTGTGGGTCCTTCTTATAGGCTGCAGTTTTAAAGAACCGTTCCAGCATAGGTCCATTTGATGGGTTGAAATGCTTCAGGAGCACTTTGAAACCTAATTTCTCCAGCACAGGCACCTCTGCTACATGAGCTGAAGCTTCCTAGCTTCCTTCGTGGATTATCCACCTTTTGTGGTGTGGAGTCCTCCACCATCTGCAGCTTGGATACCTGCTGCTATGCCTGCAACAAGGATGATTTAGTTCTCTGTGGTCTGCCAGGGAACAGCCTGCTTCACCTTGGTCTTCTCTGTGGGCTGCAGGGGAATGTCCCTCCAGTGCTCCTGCCTTCTCAGACCTTTGTGTCTGCACCTGGTAGAGTGCAGTTTTGCAGATAAAATTTCAGTTTTGAAGCAAGTTTACATTTTTATTAACCAGTAAGTAGAAGTGCATGTTTACTGGTGTTACTTGACCAAGTATGTTGGTTTCTGTAATTTTGCACAAAAACACAACATTCATGCCTGTTATCACACTGTAGAAACTGTAATCCATATCTTCAATTGTGAAGCTGAAAATTAAGCCTTAATGCAAGAAATACTGATTGAAAAACAGAAACTATTCTTTGTAGGAAGAAAAGGAAGACTGTGTTTATAGAGAGAAAATAAAAGAAACTTAACTGTAACTGAGTTTATATTTTGTCCAGTGGTCTTGCTTTTTATCCTCAAATTGTTATACTTGGTAGCAGCTTGTGAGGAGCTTTTTAATGTCATCTCTGAGGGCTTCGCTTCAGTCACTGTTCCCTGTGCTCCCCTCTTCCCATCAAAAGGCAAAATTTTTCAGCATAAAGCTATCTAGTTGAGTATGTGGTGACATATTAAGCTTAGTCATGTGGGCTGTAAGTAGACTTCACTACCTTTGTTGACTCTAAAGCAGATAGTGTTCATGCTGCCAGTAACATGGCGACGGACCATCTTATATGTCAACATTTTTCTTATTAAAGTAGAGCTGTCTTCAGTTAGTGGCTATGTCCAACTGAAGACAACAATGTTAAGTATAGGCTGCTTTGCAGTAACAGGTATTCCTAATAAGTATATCCTAGTTCTGCAGAAACAGGTGTATAATTCTGGTTATAGCTCCCATGTGTTATTCAGGCACTTTAGGCATTCTTCTTGAAGTCTTACAGTCTTTGTTTTCAGTAGTTCTACTTCAGTTGAGTTGTCTAATCAAGACTCTCAACTCCATCGGTTGCTGTTCTGAAGGAATGTTTATCTAGTTGGTGTTCATAATGAGTTATGTGTGAAGTATAACTTGTATTGCTTATTCTGTCTGCCCTTTTTCAGACATGCAGTGGATAAAAGTTAATTTATAAATTCTGAGTATTAGATTTTCTGGGATAACAGGTAAGTGTTGGGCCTGATCAGATAAGTGCTCTAATGGAAGGATGTAAATGTAAGACATTTTAATAATTAATGACCTCCATTTTGGGCTGTGTTGTTGTAAACCATTGCCTGATATGAATATTGTATCTTATACAAAATATTTTTTTTCTTGTTTTCCTGTTTTCTGCAGCCATATTCTGCATTTGGTGATTCTAGGCTTGCCTCTGATAAACCTGATGATTATGAGCATGCAAAAGAGTTTATCAAAGATGGCAAGGCAAAGTTACCATTGGTAAATATTCTCTCATCTGGTGTCTAAATTGAGGCTGTAATCTTGCAAATGTTTGGTACCTTCTTCATTTCAGCTGCAGTGAAATTGGTGTGAATCTTCTACTCATGTTCTGAGTATGTACTTCTTTTACTATATATATATATAGTAATATATATATATATAGTAATACTATATATATAGTTATATATATAGTAATACTATATATATAGTTATACTATATATATATATATAGTATATGTATCCCACATCGAGTGGGAGAAGAAACCTGCTCTCACCATTTGAAATCCAAAAATTACAAAAAAGAAATTACAAAAAATTACAAAAAGAAAGTTGCCTCTTTTAAGAAACAAAGCTTAAGAGCATGAGGATGGCTGAGTCAGACCAAAGATCTCTGTTGCTGGATATTCAGTTGGCCAGTAGCTGTTGACTGGGAATAAGTGTGAGAAGAAAGAGTGTAAGTGCTATGTTACCTAAACAAGTCTTTTTAATAATAATTTTTAAAAGATGAGTTGTTTGATCAGCATTGGTTGGTAGGTAGTGTATTGATTAAATAAAGCCCCAAAAGAAGGCAAGCTGGTAGCAGTTTTTTTCACTTGTTTCCACTTCATGCTTTCATCTGAGACAGAATGAGAAGTGGACTTTATAGTGCTGCCAGGCAGGTTTTTTTTTTTTTTTTGTATATAATACATGAACTGGCTTGGGAGTTGGTCTGCAAATAGTACTGTTGTGGTGTGGAAGGAGGTGGAGGCTGGCAATATTCCTGGGGAATGTGGCAGTCCTTTGGCATAGAGCCTCTCCTTGGCTTCTGCATGAGTGCTGTGCAGCTTCAACCAATGAGCATTTGGATCACGCTGATTTTGCAGTGTTAGACCTAGTCTGCTCCTGCATTGTAGAGGTACTGAGCCCAACAGCCTGTTGTCCTTTTCTGCTATGCCTGTGTAACATAAGTGTTTTCCATTATCAGGGCTATCCCAGTTCCCCATCATCCTAGTTAGTGGAGTTGTATGTATCTGTGATCTACTGTAATGCTCATCTAGTGCCTGAAAAGCCATCTAATGTGAGTGGTTAGAAGTTGGTCTGTGAAAGATTGATTACCCTGAGTTAAATAGGTTTTTAATTGTTTTCTCTTTTTTTTTTTCTTTTTGTTTGAACTGGTTTTTGTATCCTCTTCTAGGGAACACTGAGTAAATCTGAATGGGAAGCAACAAGTAAGTATTGTTTCAAGAACTTGGTGTTAACTGAGTAACTGCTGTGGAAAGCGTATAAAATAGTCTGTCAACTATGGAAGAAAATATGTATTTTAAGTGTAACAAGATTTTGTTGTGTTATTTAAATGCCTACGTATAGATTAGATTGTCCAAGTCATCTCAAGAAATTGGCTGGGGTTAATGCATAAAATAGGTTGAAATTTTGCTTTATGTATGTAGCTTCATTAGCATGCAGACTTTTGGGCCAAAAACACTTTGGGAAGCTTTTCTTAGTGTATGATAAGAGGATGCTAGTGTAAATCTTCTAATACCAGCAAAGTAATTCTTCAAATATGACCCTTATGTGTACATGTGTGTTATACCATTACTAGACAACTGGAAAACAAATCGGAAAACATTTGGAACATGCATTCATTTAAAAACAAAAAAACCAAAACAGCTCTGGTTTGGGAAGGCTGACTTGAACTTTACTTTTTGCCTGCAGTGGTTAATGTGTTTCAGAAAGCAGCAGTTAAAGCATAGGTGATGAAGAGGGGTTTGGATGTTTTATAAAGGGAGAAATCAGTGCCTCACACAGAAAAGCGTACAATGTTATTAAATATGCTTTGAGTTATGTAAGGATGATTCAGGGAAAACATTTGCTATGTTTTTTTTTTTTCAATATTGATATATTGAAAAATATTAAGAAATATTTACATATAATAGGAATTTCTAAGGGTAAAAATTGTCTCCAGGGAGACTGTTATTAACTGATGTGTAACAGTAGCCAACCAATAATTGCATTTTTGCAGGCCATTATATTTGATGTGTTTGTGATTTAAATTTAAAAAAAAAAAAAAAAGCAAATCAATTAATGAGTGGAAAAAATCTTAAGGTGTTTACATTTAAAATTATTAGTGGTGTGATTCTTAAGGTAAGCATTAACTGAAGCAGTGTTAAAGTATTATGTAATCTACATATCTAATTGAGAGAGACTTTTTATGCATCCAGAAGTTCAGTGATGACTGTCTCTAGAGTTCTAGCTTATTTATTCCTCAGAGAAATTTAGAATCATCAAAAACTCTATTTCAGAATGTAAACATAGCTTGTTCATTATTTTTGTTGGCATTTTTGCTGAGGAATATAAAATAGGCTTGGCTTGAAAGATTTGCAGTGTACCAAGGAATCTGCTAAAACAGATTCTGAGTTTAAGTGGAAATCCATTTATTTTTGAACTCGCAGTGCTTTACCATGTCTGTCTGGTATGAAGCATAAGTACTTCTGAAATAGCTGGCATTGATTAAATGCCAAGTAAGTATTTTCCAATTTGCTGCTGTGAATTTGTCCATTTCTGAAATTATACTGTTCTGCAGTTGAGAAAATACCATCTGGCATTTTTAAAATATCATGGATAAAGAAATGTTTTCAAGAGGAAAATTGTATTTTGTACTACTTTTAATTGAAAGTAAGGTTGATCGTTTGACCCCTAATTGTCATTACTGCCTGTATAAAGAAGTCTTTAAACTTAGTTGTATGTGATGTCTTATGCACCAGGGAATGTTAATTATGTGTAAAATGGTTGAGTGATTTAAGCAGCACTCACATTTCAGTAGTATCATTAACTGAAGTTGCTGTTGCATCAACAATATCAGCAGTACTTAAAATATTTGCTTCTGTGCACACTTGAAGCTCTGTCTTGAAAATATGTCTAAAACCATGCTGGAATTGAATGCGAGAGATACCTGTTGGGAAACCATGGCAGTTCTTATGGTATCAGCATTATGTTAATAGCTTGTTTGGGCAGAATGTAAACCAGCTTAGATTTTGAGCGCTTACATGAGCTGGGGAAGAAGGCTAAAACTTGAAATGCTCAATTTTCTTTTCTAGGTATTTACTTGGTATTTGCCTTTGAGAAGCAGCTGTGAAACTTCACATACCAGACTCAGCAAGAAGAGATCATATCCATGTGCAAGTTGGAGCGGTCAGAAATCCATTGTGGCAACTATTTTTTTATTTTTATTTTTTAATTATCGGAAGTGTGCAGGACACTACCAAAAACGAGAGCAAGCTCACGATTCTGAGTTACATTGCCTGTCTGTGACAGATGGACTTGTGTGTGTATATATAAGAAAGATTCTGAACCAGTCTTTTTAAGCATTTGTAAGCATTTGAACGCTCTCAAAACTTATGTTTGAACTTAACAACTTCATGTTAGAAAAAAATGTTTTGTTAGTCTTATGTTTGTGCTTACCAGCCTGATGCTGCGCTTCCTGAAGTTGATGGAAAATGACTTGTTAACTGTTAACTTCAGTGATGTAGAATGAGGGCCTAAATATTGTAATGCAAAGCTCGGTTAGTTCATAATGTGATGGATTCAGACATGTAGGGTATGTCTACAGTGCATGCAGAGCTTAGTGACAAACAATACCCAAGTCAGTTTGAGTACTACTTATGTGCTGTGCTCCTGCCTGCAGTGTAAATCTACCTTAGAGATATTCATGGTGTAGTTTATACGGTAAAGTTTCATGATGTTTTTAGTTGGTTTGTTTTGGTTTTTTTTTGCTTGCTTGCTTGGTGATATATAGTGTCACTTCATGGTGCTTCCAAGATTAAATTTGTTCTGTACAAAGCTGCTCTAAAAGAACTGAATTTCTGAACTTTTAAAAATCTTTACATCATTTTTCCAAATATGACTATACAGTAATGAATAACAGCTGCTGAGCTTAAATTACTGAACATTTTCTATTGTATTAAAGACTGTACTGACTTTTTTGTAGTTTTAATGTCTCTTTGAAACTTACTAGATGGATCTTAGGATGTGTTTTGCTTGTTTCATAAAATTCCAAATAGGCTTGGCAGAAGAATTAGCTCTTAGTGGTGATGGGGACTTCACTTAAAGCATTAAGAACATGATCATGAACTAAAAAGGGAACCCTTATAATAGTTGAGGGTACTGGAATTTCACTCTGGTAGGGATGGTTGCGTATGTGCACTCACACCATTAGATATAGGAAATAATTTCAAAATGAGATCCAAATATTCTGCTTGGGAGTATAAACTGATGTTCTTGACAGGCAGAATGATACCTAACTCCTGTCCTACTCTCTGCCATTCTATTGGACCTGGCTTGGAGGTTTCTGGCATCGTGTTTAGTCCTCCTTTATTATGCCAGTAGCCACCCACTAGTGAGAAGATGAGGGTTACTTCAGGATTTTTCTCTCTCTTCTTGAGCTAAGAGATGCTTTTTGATGCTGTTGGCTATTTTAGTTTATATACAGATTAATTGATAGTGTTGATGGTACACAAGTATTTTTTTGCAAACCTATAATAAACCTAAGAAAGAACAATGCTATTAAACATTCAGATTATTTGAGTTTGTAGTTGTAGAGCCTTTCCTCTGTAAATTATCTCATACACTTTCCTCTGACTCTTGATTTTTAATTTTCTAGAAGATTATGTATAACCTTCACTAAATCAGTAGTATCACAGTCATGAGTTCTACTAAATTTATTTTTAAAAGGTGTTTTTTTTTAACTAGAAATTGTACTTAAGAAACTACCTGAAATGTGCCAACACTTAAGAAGTGCTGAAAGGTTTCACTGAATTTTTGTGCATCAAAGCTGTTTTGTTAGATTTCTTATCTGAAGTTTCATTTGAAAGTACATAGTTATGCTATTTTTGGAAGATATTAGAATAATAAAAAGGGGAGATACACAGAGGAGCGTTTTCCTCTTCTAAGCTAATTTCAGCATATTGAAAATGAAAACTGTGGAATGGTTGAGACATGGAAGGGCACCACTGGAAGTCTGAACTAACCTTTTCCCATTCAAGTAGGCAATCAGTGCCATTGCTCGGTCACTCCCATGGTAAAGATGTTTAGACTGCACCTCCTGTGTTTGTGCCACTTACCACCAGTCACACTTTACACATTAGCCACCTTCATGGCATAGGCATGCTTCCCCTTTGACTTGTGTTTATTTGGAGTCCACCAGAACCCCTAGTTCCTTTTCTGCAAATCTGCCTTCCATCTGGGTGGCCCACAGCATGTACTGGTCCTGTTGTTGCTCTTCACCCAGTAGAAGGATTTAGCACTTAACTGAACTGTGTGAGGTTCCTATTAGCCCATTTCTTCAGCTTGTTGAGTTCCCTCTGAATAACTGTAGAGCCCTCTGGTGTATTTGCCACTCCTCCAGTTCTGTGTTATTAGCAAGCTTGCTGAGGTCGTACTCTACCCATCTAGATCATTAATGGAGATGTTGAATGGGATTGGATCCAGTATTGATCACTTTGGTAGACTGCTAGTTACTGGCTCCCAACTAGGCTTTGCACCACTGATCACTATGCTCTGGGACCATCTCTTCAACTAGTTTTGTTCACCTCCTTATCTGCATGACCAGACTGTACTTTGTCAGCTTTTTCTATGAGGATCTTAGGAGAGTAAGTGTCAAAGGTCTTCCTGAACTCTGTGTAGATGATAACCACTATGCTCCCCTCATCCACCAGGCCAGTCATTTCATAGTTAATCAAGTAGGTCAAGCTTAACTTCCTTTTGGTAAATCTCTATTGATGATATTCTTATCCTTCACACGCTGGAATTGGTTTCCAGGATTAGCTGCTCCATTACCTTCCCAGTGATTGAGGTGGGGCTGACTGGACTTCTCGGTGGGAGTGACACAGATTTTACTAGTCTGTGATCACCTCTCCTAGTTAAAATGATCATTAAAGGATTATCAAGAGTGGCCTTGCAGTGACACCAGACAACTCCCTCAGCACTCACAGGTGCATCCCATCAGGGCCTATAGGTTTCATATATCCTATTTGTTTGTATGTTCCCTGAACTGATCCTCTTCTATCATAGGTACATCTTTCTTGTGCCAGTTCCTCCCCTGGTATCTGGGACCTAAGGTTTGTGAAAGACAATCTTACTCATAAACACTGAGACAAAGAAGGCATTCAATTTCTCAGCATTTTTCCTGTCTTCTGTCGCTGCGTCCCCCATCCCATTCAGCTGTGCATCCATGGTTTCCCTACTCTTGCTTTTGTGACTTAGATACCTACAGAAGCTTTTCTCGGTGCCTGACATCCTAGGCCAGATTCAATTCAAGTTGGACTTCTGGCCTTTCTGAATGCGTCTCTTTATACTTGGACAGCATCTGTATTCATGCTAGGTTACCTGTCCCTGCTTCCACTATTTGTATGCGTCCTTTTTGTGTTTGAGTTTTGCAAGAAACAAATCACTCATCTATGCAAGCTCCTTGACATTTTTCCTGACTTCCTACTTGTTAGGATAGACCACTTGTGGGATAGAGCTTGTGGGAAAGTGATCCTTGAATATTAAGCTTGCTTTTGTAGGCCCCTCTTTCCTCCAGGACCTTATCTCACAGAACTCTTCCTAGCAAATCTTTCAAGAAGTCAGTCTGCTCTCCAGCAGTCCAGCATTGTGACCTTGCTTTTCATCCTCCATCTTGCTCTCAGGATCCTGAACTCAGCCATCTCATGATCAATGCAGCCAAGGCTACTTTTAATCTTCATTTTCCCAGCTAACCCCTCCTTGGTAAACGCTATGTTCATCAGAGCACTTCTCATTGGTTCTTCTATCACTTGGGCCAAGAAGTTATTAGTACTCTCCAGGAATCTCCTTTTGCTTTTGTCCTGCTGCGTTCATCCCTTGGATATCAGGGTGGTAGAAGTCTTACTTGAAGACCAGAGCTTGTGAATGTGGAACTGCTTCTAGCAGTCTGTAGAAAGACTTACCCACTTGTTCTTTGTTGTCAAATGGCCTCTAGCAAACGCCCACAGGTATGTCCGTCATACCTGTCTGCTCTTCAGTCTTTACTCGTAAGCTCTCAGTTGGCTCACTGTCCATCCTGAGGCAGAGCTCTGTGCATTCCAGCTGTGCTTCTACACAAATGACAACTTTTCTACCTCTCCTCATCTTCATGGCTCATCCTTCCTCAAAGGTCTTTATTTTTCCATTGCAACACTCCAGTCATGCAATCCATCCTGGCAGTTGAGACCTCTGTTGGAGCCACTTGCTCAGTTTGTGTGGAAAGCCAGCATTACTGAAAAATGTTTTTGCTTCTTCAGCCTTGAAAAAAACCTCTGTAAAGTGGGCGTATGAAAATCCTGTTTTAACTAATTGCTCAATATGTTCAAGACTGCAGTGCTCTGTATGTACAGGGCTGTACTGATAGAAAGCCAAACATCAGCACTTTCTATTTATGAAGGATTTGATGCTCATGAAAGATGTTTGGTGAGGTAAGGATGGAAGACTTGTTCAAAAATCAGGTATTCGGCTGCCAGTGGCTATTAGCCCTAACATTTTTTTTCTCCTGTCTCCACTTTTCAAAGAAGCAGTTACATATTTGTTGCAGGACTGCTGCTCCTGCAGCTGAGGTTATGTGGTAATGAGTGTTAGTATAAGTAATTGTTCCTTATGGGTCTTAGGATATTCTACAACCTTACAGAAAAGTGGTGAGGTGCTGAAACAGCTGCCCAGAGAAGCTGTGGTGCCCCGTCCTTGGAGCTTTCAAAGCCAGGTTGGATGGGGCCCTGGGTATCTGAGCTGCTGGGGGGCAGCCCTGCCCACAGCAGGGGTTGGGGCTAGGTGGGCTTTAAGGTCCCCCCAACCCAAATCATCCTGTGGTTCTATGATTCTGTGAAAGAAATAATGACATTAAACACTGTATTTGTGCAGGAAGTGTGTCATGCTACAGTCAATTACTGTTGTATCAATGCTGTATTGTATGAGTTTGCTTTTGTGAATTACAGACCAGTGTGATAAAAATTGCTGCAAAGCACTGAAGCATGTGCTGTGTTTTGTACTTAGGTTTTAATCAAGTGCTAAAGGTGGCTTGCTGCCTGGTAGAATCTACTTGATTGACTTAAGAAGCTCTCCTTGCTGCAAATTTTACGTGTACTCCTGTTACAGTGTTTGAATAATGTAGTGAACACCTCAGTCCTTTGACTAGGAGTCTTTTTCTTTTGAGTCACGTTTTATTTAATAAAGCACTCTCCTAATATCTATTTTTATTAAAAAGAGTAACTATATTCTGTCTTCTGATTGCTAAACTGTTTGCAAAGACTTTGAAAACTGTTAATTTGGGAAACTCTAAGCTATGTAGCAATAAATTTAGAACATCTGCAGAGTAATCAGGGGCTGATGATGAAACCACTTTTGCAAGCCACTTATTGCATAAGTAATAACGCATCCACGGGGAGAAATGGCTTGTCTAAAATTAAGCAGGATTACTAGTTGTCTTGTAATGTCAGTCCCCAGTGTTCACTGTCTGCTACAAATGTGAGCCTCTGCCTGTAAGAAAGTGAGGAAACATCTGCATTGTTGCACATGATTGCAAATAAGTGTCCTGATTTTTCAGAAATGCACAAAAATCAGGTCATTTAGGTGCCAAAGGCATGGAGACAACAGTTTAAGTTTTTGAACAAGAAACCTCAGTTGAAATTGAAAGAAAAATGTCTGAAATCTGAATCCTAGTGCTGATGACATTATAAATACCTTGTGCTGAACTAAATACTGTTAAAATAGTTTCTTTGCAGCTTCAGTGTGTAGAATTTAATGTAGATGTGCTGGTGAAACGGCCTCCCTTACAAGATACCATCACTGTCATAGATTTATGTACTGCCTTGGATGTTTCTGTTATTTAGAAATCAGATGTTCTTAACATAACTTGATAAATAAGTTTTTGATAGGTTATAGTTTTTCTGATGGTGCGTAAATGCCATTGAAATGGAAGATGTTATCTTTTCTTCAT